TGTTTTAGTACGTTGCGCAATTGTGTTGAAAGACGTACACAATTTATAGGTGATAGCATTTCTACAAACCTCTCTCCCTTTTCTTTCGGTTTTCCGCTCTAATCTCGTTATTGTGCATTGCTTCTACCTGCAATCTTCCCTTTATCCTGTCACCCGAATCTCATGTACACGTTAATGGCCTTTCTGGCGTCCCAATCCAAGCGCCAAGAGTAGTAGCGGCAGCTGTTGGCGTGCGCGCCAAAAAGCAGTGAGGACTCCGGCTGCGCTGATAGGGGGCATTGGCCCCATATCGGCACCGATGGCTTACACCGATTCAGAGGATACAACATGAATGTCGAATTGACTTTCAGTGGTCACTGCCAGCTTTGTTTTACATTAGCCGATATCACAATTGCCATTGGCTTCACTTACGGAACTCTGCTGTCAAATGTAACATTTGTAGCGAAAGGGGCGTGGAACAAAGGTTTGAGGCGCTGTAATAAACTATGGTATATTGAATGCGTGTTCCTTATGCGCACATTGCCGATGCTAAGAGCACGCCATATTCGTCGAAATCAATGGTTGTAAGGGTGGGTGGGCCGAGAGAGAGAGAGAGGGGGGAGGGGGCGGCAAAGCAGGGGTGGGGCTACATTATCAAAGATTGGTTCCTAGCTTAGTCAATGTTGTGTAGCGGAGGATACTTATATTCCCCAATGACACCAACAGCTGTAGCAGACGTAAACGCAATAGTATCGATCTTGTTTGAGGTTAGTGTACTCGCAGCTGTACCCGCCAATCAATGCATTAGCAGTAGTGTTTGCGTACATGGCGGTCCATCCGTCCGTCAAAATACTTCAGTACAAATTAACGTTACGTAGAAGCTGAGAGCTATGGGGCAAGTGCATGGACAGACCAGCGAAACGCATGGGAACAGCGTGGAACGCTAACAAATCCTTCGCTTACCCAAGGCATTAACAGGGCTTGTATTCGAAAAAATAGCAAAAGCAGTTACTCAAGGCTCACGGACTCTCAGTTGGTAGAGGCTGACATATTTTAGATATAGGGAGAGAAGGCCATTTATATCTGCAAGGACGACTTGCCAATCATAAAATGGACCGCTGCAAAACGATAGAAGCCATCCGAAACCCTTTTATGTAGCGGTATTTTTCGAAAACGGGCAAACAAGTTTCAACCTGGAGTAGATTTTTCGAAGATAAATACGTTACGGAATTACATGGGCTGTTTAATTATTAAATGTTACGAATCTGACCGTTCTCAGACTCAAATGTTTGCTGTATACAGAATGGTCAATAAACAGTTGTGTAAGCGGGTGAAATGGATTCTCCTTAAATTTTGTTAACTCATAAAAACTTAGGAGATACGGAGCAGTTTTAGGGAGCGGAGGAATCAAAAACTTTTCCGCCACTTACTAATGACAGATTGAACAGTGATGATTTGATTACCCGGCTTCGACGTAACATTACTAGTTACGCGCATAATCGTAGTGAAATCATAGCAGTAAGTTTACTAGATGAAAAAATAAAGTTGGCTTTGTTGCATGTTTCTGTGTTCAGCTGGTTTTTTGGTTGCATCCTTCTTTCGGGCATTGCCCCATACACAAGTAAATAACTGAACTAAATATATGGAGAATCATTTTAGAGAAAAGTACGATTCGCCAGTTATTCCTACATATATATCTGAAAACTGAAAATGGAAGATTAGACACATTTCTATCCTTCGTTTCTGTCTTGTTTTTTATTCAGTCAAACATGAACGGAAGCCGTGTTAGTATATAAACAATCGGAAAGCCGGTTGCCAATCGTAAGACAAGCCAACAAGTAGTTCCAACTCTCTTATGGACTCTAGCGGTGCCCTTCATTTAGTGGCTACGAAGGCCTGTCACCTACCACATCAGCGTCGCTGCTTCGCTGACTAAATGACCGTTGGACGAAAGAAATGGTGCTTAGGACGGGCTAGCCGCGTGGCAGGCCGAATAAGACCTGAGGTGGTTGCTGCGGCTTGAGGAATGACATCTAGAGCTCTCGATGTCGAAATATCGCGGTACGCCATTCAGCTGGAGTTGTGCTATGGATAGCTTTTGAGTAAAGCAGTTATATGGCAGAGGAGCGTAGGTCGGGAACGGAAAAATAATCGGTTAGGGTATATATATGGGTAAAGGGGGCAGCTATTTGGCAGGCACTGCTGTAGGGTAGACAAGTCACTATAGACCAGTGTTGCAGAGGAGTAATGGGCTGCTCCATCGCTTCAACAGCCGCCATAGCCCTGTGCAGCTGCCTAATCAGAACTGGCCGTCTGCTCGGCTGACTGGGCGAACAATTCTCAGCGGACACTTTTGGGTAGCAGGGCCATTGCTGATGCTGCACCACTGGCGGGCGCCAGCCCCCGATTAACTCTACGACAGCTTTGTTGGTAGGTCCGTTAACGTTTGTTGGGTCGGTGGGCGGAAAAGTGGCTCATGTTCGGCTAGCTGATGTCTAGATCTGAGGCAATGCTTGGGTCTGGTGCCTAACACTTGCAGCTGAAGTAATGGTCGGGTCAGAACAGTGTATTCGAGGCCACAGACGAAATAGCCGATACTATATAAACATCTGTGGCGGAGCGCCATAAGAAGCAACGATATGGTTGGAGCTGTGTCTGTTCTAATAAGGATTTGACTGATACAGTATCGTCGGGATCAGACGTGGGTATAGCACGCACCTTTGCTTCGACGGCTAACGACAATGGCAAACAGGGCTTGCCGCTCTGTCAGTCGCTCTACGTAGGCCAAGGTCATGGAGGAAGATAGGTCCCTAGAATAACTTACTGACGTCATTTATATATGCATGGGGATACCAGGTAGAGTGTGCACTTCAAATGACTATTGTTGATACGTTCAGACTGCGTTTAATTAAAAGCAGAAGAAGCTTGCTTTTTGGCCCAACGGTATAGTGGAGTCATTATAGTATATCGACGGTTGTCACTTTCTCAGTTGTTGACAGTCTCGTGCTGTACAGATGGAGGAACAGTCAGTAGCCATTTCACTGCACTATGCGAATGGGGTAGACGTTATTCCTATGTATCTGACACCGACGTATGGGAACGAAATTTACTGGGTAATGAATTCCTGAAAAATTCGAATTTCGCACTAGTGATACGTGTGTAGGATACTAGTTGCCCTTACATTAAGATAGATGAAACGATGTCCTTGTTTTGTCCTTACATTAAGATAGATGAAACGATGTCCCTGTTTTGTGTTGTCTGATATCTGAGTTTTCCGCACACATAAGTTACGTATAGATAAGCCGACCGTAAACGCTTAGTAACAGCTTTTTGACCAAAACAAATTTTGACTCGGCGCACCTGCGGATGATCTCCATGGGTTCTAGCGAATTAGAATTGCACGTAAGCTTGAACAAGCTACAATGAACGTTAAATTAATCTGGCATCAGTGGTCAAGTAGTGGCAAGCAAGTTCGGAAACGACAATAGCGTGAAGCTAATAGTATATATCAGGCAATTACCAAATAGCTTACCTATTTCGAAACATTGTTGCAGTAATACACCGCGTCTATTATGTACACAGTTGGCTGTTCTGCGTCTTTTCCTCGGCGAGGTATCACATGGCATCTCTCAAGACTGCGCCGGTCATAGAAGCATTACATGGCGCACGTAAATCCTCTAATGTTGCATACATCATACGCATGATAAGGAAACCTATGTTTTCTTATCGTTGTAGGTTCGCTCTCTGTGTGCGCGCAGTAAAGGTCGTCCTCATGGTTTTGCATGATAATCAGACTATCACTTAGTTTCGTTTTCAGCGTTGTAACAGGATTTCTAACTTACCTGCTCTAGCCACCTAGAATCGATTACGTGTCAAAGCTAGCATAGGAAATCACCTGCATTACAGTGGGACCAAGGTTGGTACTATTTTAAGGTACAGCGAATACCGGCTGCTTCAAAAACGATCGAGACCTCATTGCGTTAAGACCTCTAAAATTTTGGGAAAAACGTTGTGTTAATTAACAACAATAGTAAGAGATCGGGATAAGGCAGGTGGGTAAATATTCGAATTATCCTATGTGATAATTACAAGACATAGCCATGAAACAGGAACCATTTTGTTTGCATAACCCCTAACGTTCGAGGTCGAAAAAAGAAACATTTCTGGGAGAATTGACATCAGTGTCTGCGAGCCACACTGACTGAGAGCCACCATAAACGCATTACGCTTGAACGCCAGCAGCAATTAACGTTTGTAAGCTTCGGTAAGGAAACCTAAAAAAACTTGGCCGACCTATAGATTCGTTTATCATCCTCCTATTGTACAATTTGATACTATTGCTGGTTCAACAACGGTTGTCATCGCAGTAATGTATAGCAACGAGCCGTACTTCTCACCTCTTATTTTGTAGTAAATATAATGGTAACAAACAAGAGGGCTTATCGATGGCATTGTATATACTTACATCTGTGCAAACTCTTCGTTCAAATAGTAATGGTCAATCATAATAGACGTTCGCGGGAGCGTACGACAAAAATAGCGACCAAAGCGGATTTCGAAGAATAAACATTATGGCACTTGGTAACGTTCGAGGTCGACCTTTCTCAAAATCGACCGAAGTTAAAGACTAACTTTTATTGGTTGCCAGCCTCGCATCGCTAGGACGGACATCGTAGATAGTTCAGTGGCGTTTTCCCAGTTCCCCATGTTACGTTAAAAAAAAAATCATTTACATCAGAAACGTTAGTCATGCTTTTCGTCGTTTTAATTAATTGAAGTAATTGACGTACTCTACGTCCAAGAAGACATGGTGATAAATAAAATGAACCTATATACACAATGAAAGTAAACAATGGGTGGACCTTTATAGGTTCTTATATCTTTATATCTTCTTGTCACGCCGCTATCCAAATGTGTTTTCATCCGCATTTATTTCAAGGTTAGTCTTATAAATCATCATTCAACTCCACAGCCTACATATTTAATGTGATTTGTTAAAGGAAACACATGACCACACTCACCTTCCGGGCGAATTCGATGATCGTATCTGCTGTTATTGACCAGATAATCAAGGATTTGTTTATCGGTATAGTTCATGAACTGATGGGTAGCCACTTTCGTAGTGTTTGGATCGTCGGAGTCCGGAGGCCGTGCGTCGACTAGATTCAACATCGTACCGAGCGTCATCATACCAGCAAGGCTCAACAATAACCTATTCGTTGTAATGGAACTGATCGAAAAGTAGCCATTATGAGCGCGGCGGTGTCCTCCGCCAGGTTCGCCTTGATGCTTTCGTCGATACGAACTGCAAGTCATCATTAGGTCGCACCACAGACTTTCACCGATGCTGCTCTTTTCATTTGTATCGTAACGACTATGATTGTTATTATGGTAATAATTAGCCCACGTGTGGGCATTCGTTGATGTCTCGTGTCCATCGTGATATAGCACGTTCTGAGCTGCGACGTCAAATTGGTGCACTGCGGACTTCGGCACGCCCCTCAGAGCTTTACCATGGGCGTTAGTTTGATCACCCTTGATGTGCTCGTGATGACGATGATGAGTATTACTACCGACGGTTGCTTTAGCAGAGCTATTTTCGCGCTTGTAAAAGAAGTAGTCGCTGGTAGCTATCGTTGTTGTATCAGTAAAGCTTAGGTCGTTGAAGCTTGCCATTGCTCGATCGCGTCCATCATTCACTTGTACGTTATCAAATTCGTGCCGTTGTTGTCGTAATGTCTCATCCTTGTGAAGGTTATCTTGGAAAACTGGAAGTTTATTGACAGGTCTCGCGTCTGCTGCTGCTGCTGCTGCTACTGCTGTCGCACCCATCATCATCGTCATCTCGTCGTCTGTTTTTACTACTGACATAATAGTGTTTGCCGGTGACGGGGGGAGTTTGACTTTATTATAATGGCCATTGTTGCTATCACCTAGCTTGCTGTTGAGTTTGTTTATGTTGCTCTTGTTGTTACTGGTGCAATCGTTGTTATTGTTGCCGTTATTGCTAATGTTGTTGCTGTTATTATTATTCATAGTGGAAGTCTTCGTACCGCATCGGTTGTAGTTTAATCAATCGTCGTGGAAGGGATGGAAATTGCAGCGACCGTCATAGTCACCACTGCATTCCTTTGTTGCTGTTGTATTTGAATCTTTCGCAATCTCCAGGTCACTAGTTGGTCGGTAACGACCGCAAAAAAATGCGATAACTAAAAATTGCGACAAGTCGGTCGCGACGCCTGGAACAAAGAAAGTTTCCGACTGAGGTTCCTAAACGATGAAAACCTGAACAATGGTGAAAAGCCGGCAAAAAGGACTATTCGACGATCCGAATCTGTTATGACAACGGCTGACTTTGGTCGAGCGTGTCTGTGGCAGCGTGAGTCTACCTCGTCGCCGTCGATCATATCTGATCTACGTTGACTATTTAATGTTTTGTAAACCGCATCGATGCAGCTTACGTTAGCACTGTTAGAAGCAATAATACAACTACGTCAATTAGTACCTGATAGTTCTTTTCATTAACGTATCCGATTCAAACTGACTATCGACCACGATTCGCGAGTGTTGCACTGTGGCTACCTCCGACGTATCTAAGGTAACAGTCCTATCCTTTACGGAAGCTTGCAGTTTTCCTCGTCTGCGCTCATTTTCTCTCAGTTTCACGCGTTTGTCCTATTTTTCTTCCAGCGTTTTGTTTTGTTCCGTCTGCTTCTTTCCACAGAACCCAACCGTAGAGGGAGGCTCTACTTCTCTTGCTTGGCCTCCCTGACGCCTGCTTCACTTGCGGCAATTGGTAAGCGGTTTCTCAGTCAGTGTGTATGCATGCATGTATGTGTATGTGTGTATTATTATTTGCCTTCATTGTTATTTATTGCAGTCTTTTCTTTCGCTTTTGTTTTGTTTGTGGCGCGGCGGGCGTTTTAGCTAAGAGTCAGCGGTAGCCTGATGATGCAGTATTATGATTATTATATATTTAGAAGCTCTTTGCCGCTTTCTAACTTTTTATCCGCGCCTCTTTTTTCTGCTATTGCTCTGTACGGCCTTTTCAGTTTGGTGATGTACCTTGCCCGCAGATTACCTCTAGACACCGTAGACTGTTGCCAGCCATTCTTGCTTCGTTTTTAAGGCTCTGGACAAATGATCTGTTTCATCTGATCGTCTTAGGCCGAACTTATTATTTCTGGTGCGATAACGTGCATGGTTTATTTGTTTGCGAGTGGCGACGGGGGTTCGTTTTCCGACAACCACCGTTTAAAAAGAATTTGTGTTCTCTTCTATTTTGATGGTGTCTTAGTATCGATGCGCAGGTTTAGTATACGTTCGTTCTTTGCATGTGTAGCTGAGTAAAACGTTATTTATATTGTTATAATTAATGCTAATTGCGATCTTATATATCAATAAGGTATGTGTATTACGTATATGTTTGTATGCACGTAACCATTGACGTGATGCACCTCTTCGTCCAAGCGTGTGCGGCCTTTACGCGACCGTGTTCATCCTTAGGTAACTTATTTGAATTGATTGTATCCTCGCTTAGCGCTAAACTGGTCCTCTTAATTGGGTACACTTCTATATCGAATGGTTGTATAGAGCCTTCTTTTTTTCCCCACCTTCTCTGTTGCTACCTATCTTTGCGTATGGCTGCCCAGTAGGTAAGGGTCAGCTGACTGTAGGCACGGGCTGTTGAGTTGTTGTCGCTCCTCGAGCTGAAGCTACGTGAGCGGAACTAGATACCAGAGGCGTTGTATACAGCGATAAGGCCAGCGACTGGTTTTGGTTCAAGGTGTTACGAGATTTTGCAACTCGTTGTCGTTTGATCAGGCTCTGAATGTCCTGCTCACCTATTTCTTCCTTCTCTCTCAATTTTTCCGTTCAGATCCTTTCTCTATCCGGTAAATGGTCTGATACAGGAGCGAGCCAGCTGTGCCCTGCTTGCCTGTTGAGTTGAACTTCTAGTTTTCTGACTACTTCACAACGCGGTTTGTCACTTTGAGGTTATATTAGGAATGGACTGAAAATTGTAGTGATGATGCATCAACTTTCTGTTCACGTTTTCCGTTAGTATACGGCTTTTGTTGATATTCGTTCGTTAACTTTCGCTGCTGCTGCTGCTGCCGTCGTTTACTGCCATTCATTCTTGTGAACTGCGTAGATTGTAGTAGGCATATGTACATATATGCTAGTAGGTGTTCGTTGCTGTTCTGTCCTTGTTTTTATATATACGTTACTGCCGTACACAAAGCTCGCCGGCTACAGAGAAACGATCTCACTACACCTGCGTGTTTACAGGAACTACTTTCAGCATGGTCAGCGTCATCAGCATATTCGATGCCGACGTTGTTGTCCTCGTTGCTTTTATTGCCATTCCTCCTACCTCACTGCTTCAAATTATAACTATTACTATATTTAGTGTTATTACCACTGTTACCAGCAGCTGCAGCAGCAGCAGCATCAGCTTGAGCCCTTGCTAGCCCGGGTGAGCGGGCGTATGGCTACTAAGAGCTCAAGTACAGGGAACAATTCGGCAGGCTCTGTTACAACTGTGTTACATGAACGCTCCAATAGACAATAATGGTACCGCCATACTATTTGTTTATACACACATAGATATATTGTTATCGTTACATTCTATAGGCTTTGATCGGAGCGGCAGCAGCAACCCCAAGCGACAATAGCAATCTCGATCGGAGCTCACGCTTACGTAGCTGACACACGAGCTACTTTACGATACCCATTAGCACACGACAGCAGCTCGTTCCCGAGCTAACGGCTGTGGAATCGTGGCGTCCTCGCCAGAGAAGAGGTTGAACGAATGACTGATAGTGAAGTTCTCTCGACGTCCCTTTGCTGTTTATACGTGGTGCGCTAGGCGCAGCTGGTTTTGGTGTTGCCCCAGACGGACTCAGCCGTGAAGGCGTTGAAACAAGGGAGAGATACAACGAAAAGGGTACTTTTTACAGTAGGCGGCGGCGGCGGCGGCGGCGGCGGCGGCGGTGGCGGTGGCGGCGACACCCTGTCCCGAGTCTCGCCACTCAGCGGCAGAGCACATCACTACGTTCACGGGCGGGCGACTGGTCCCATGCAGCGACGACGTTGACAACACGGACGAGATAGATGACGACACCTATCTAATCACGCACTGTGCACTTCGGTTTCCGATCCAGTGTTTCTATTATTTAGCATCGGGCGGCAGGATAAAGTGGCCGAGTAACGCCGCCCACTTACGCTGCTGCTGCTGCTGCTGCTGCTGCTGTTATTGTTGTTGTCGCGGCTTTTCGATGGAATGCGACATTCATTAGCAGGCCAGTCGGCCAACAAATAAACCACTGCTCGAACTGTCCTTCGCCACGTTCGGAAGCACAGAGCCTCTTTCGCCGATTCGGTTTTTCTCACTCATGCCGTTACTGCCACCAGGTACCAGAGTAACAGGACAGCTCTCAAGGGTCGACAGCGTTCTTCCTCTCGTTGCTCTTCCTTTTCTCTTTTCTCTGTTGCTGCCGTTGTCATCAATGAGTACTGCTGGATGCACGGACGGACATAGATGACCCAGTAGCTGACGTCTGCTCTTACTTCCGCTGCTGTCGTTAACCGCACCACACTGTTGGTTGTTAAAGCCGTCGGTGTTGCCGTTGCCGTTGCCGTTTAGTAATGTCTTGCCCTCGAACGACACGGGATTACGTTTTCCCCTAGTTAACTCCGACTCGTATGGCTGTATGATGCGTGATTGCAACTGCGACTCCAGCCCCCTTGTCTGTTTGTCTGCCTATGTGCATGTGTGAGTGTGAGCACCTCTTACTTTCACTGACGATGTGTGAGATCCTTGGCATGTGCTTGTGAGCCCACACACACACTAATCAGCAATAGTAGCTTTCATATTCTATGCGATTCACTGCCAGCCAGACTTGCAGCTAGCTTCTCAACCTGCTGTTTACTTACTGTCTACCTGAACCTATCAGGTCCTTCTACTACAGCCTGCTCGCCGTTTGGCTAACAAGCGCGCACGAGAGGACAGGCGACCTGTAACCTGCGACTTAAACCTGCGACCGTCGGATCAGCGAACGTCGGCGGCGCTTCAACCAACGATCGAAACGATGGTAAAGCATCATCGTCTTTTGGCGCATGCGCATCAGGCCCCCGTAGTGAGGCCCCGCTGAGGTTGTCTGCGATGCTCTGGAAAGGGAACCGGCTTGAAGAAAGAGGTGCTAAACACCCCTTTCCCTTCCCGCTACCTAGTAGCTTCCAGTCTGCCTGGAAGAGTAGTGAGCCAGATAGTTCGTTTACTCGCTGCGACTAGCGACAAGAACGAAAAATAGGCAAAGGAAAAGACTATTTTGATTCGGTGTTGTCCATCAGTTGTGAGTTGGCCGCGACATACAAGAGGGCGTTGTGGTATATGCTAGGATTTATAAGAAATATAGCGAAATCGTGGTCGAATATAACACCGTCTAACACGATTCTGATGGCAAGCAGAAATTGCAATTACATACAGTTAAGCTTACGCCAAAATCGGAATCGGGAGTACGAAAAGGGAGTTTATTGCAAAACACCGTGGTAACGATAAAAATAGCTGGGCTGTTTCGTACGGCATCAAACTATATCGGACGAGGCTTGCAAATAATAGATGTTTTACTAATAGAATCTTGCAGCTTTATCCTGAACAGGCTTGTGCATGTCAAGTGGCCAAAATGGGATAAATTGGCTGGTTTTATTGGTAGGATAAGGGTCTCCAAATGCGTTTGCGCCAACGGTTTCGCCAAAAACCCTTAGATGAGGTAAACCTATTTAGGTCACAAACGCTTAATGTGGGGTGTCCTATGAGACTGCTCTATATTTTATGATTGAACGCAACCTAAGATATCTCATAGCCGAAATTAATGTGAATCTAACCAGCAAATACACACTTTTCTCGCTGTTTGCATCCCGCCCGTTCATTTTGGATAGCTTTTTATATAGGCAACAATTTAATTTTAAGTGTTAACCTGTACCTGGCAAACAATTGATACATTTGGCTTGCTTGCTGTAGACGGTCCTTACCTGCTGAAATGAATAAATGATGTTTAGAATCCAAACCCGCCTGATGCACAACATTTGCTTTTTTTTTTTTTTTCATTTATTTTGTTATAATAGTTTTTACTGACTTGAACAACGCAGGCCCGAGGATTCCTATAACAGACCGTAAATGAAGCCAACCTGAGTAAACAAATGCAAGCGTGTTCTCGTTTGCGGAGAAATAAGGTTCAAGTAGGATCCCCCGGGCAAAAGTAAGCTCCATATGATTATTATCCTATAGACAAAGCTGGTATTACACGACCTCGGTTATAACGGAAATTAAAAATCGAATCCGTATAATCTCTTTAGTTTATAAGAATTCGGCACCTCTGATGCACATGCCTCCTAAACACACACAGATAGATAATAAAATCTAGTTTATCTGGGTGTAAAAGCAAACTGTGCTCGAACCATAGTCTGAAGTCACCTATACCAAAGTAACACTGGAATAATTGCAAATACATAGGAGATGCCATTCTGAGTATTACTCGACGAGGATCATGTTTAATATTTTAATTAAATTAATTAAATAAAATTAACTACTATGGGAGATGCTATGGAGTGATCATTCAAAGTGCACCCTTTCGTAAATCCGCCTCAGTTCACCAGGGGTAACATCAATACGGAGCGGTAAAAATATGTTTACTTATTATAACGTTATTTTCCCAGCTCATAGAAAAAAAAAACTATATATACACCAAGCCATATTGTCTCCATGGACAAAAGCCAAGTTTTTCAATAGAACCGCAAGCTCGAACTCATCTCAGTGTCCTTAACTTAGCTGGTAACTAAGCATAGTAGGAAATCTCACAGACCACGCAGTTGTGCAGCATCAGCCAAAATAGAGCATCTGCCAAATGCACTGGGTTCACGTCCGTGCGTAATATAAGCCAGTCGTGCAAGTTTTGTCTCGGGAAATTTCTCTGAAAATGATGCAATAGCGTGCAGCTTGGTTATTCGGAGAGAAAGCAACCATGGTCTTGAAATAATGGGTTCATATACCCACGGTGTAGCCCAGAACGACGAGATTTCTATTTTTGTTTGCCGTAGACGAACAGTAATGTGCGACTCGGTCCGAAGACACCGTAAAGCCTGAACGATTCCAGCGAGCTAAAAAGGACAGCGTTCCTATCCTGCATTGCCTACAGCAACCGAGCTGAATTATGTCTGAATGTCTCGCTTCCACTTTGCTGTAATGATCTCGCTCGATGACACAGAGATCACACGCAGCGCCAGCCTGTCTCAGCTACAATCACATATTTTTGGAGAAAATTTTCTCGAACGCATACTGAACAATTCTTCTACACGATGTTCAAAAAACAAAACAACAAACTTTCTTGTGTGTCGTTTTTTGTGTGTCTAGTCTATGGGGGAGCCTACGTTATTCTTATACTGAAGTACACATCATTACGTGCATCGTTTGACATGTACTCAAACCAAGTTAAGCCATTTCAATAGCTCGAATAACGACCACTCGTCCCACCTAGGTTCTGCATATCGAAATTGAAAGCAGGGATGAATATGCAAAAAAAAAAAAAGGTTGAGTACAGTGGCCCGTGTTTGAAGTAGTTGTACCGCGATAGAAAGTCAGGTATCGAAAGAGTACGCCTATTATAGTTTATCATTGGGGTGTCGAATTGATGACCGGTTTTTTTTTCAGCTAAATGGCTTTAAAGTCGCGAACTTTAGATAATGAGTTGCGTCGCGCCGGCGATGTCGGCTGTCGTGTCAAATGTGAGACTTTGCAATAGCAGATGTACTAAACCTGGGATGGCCTCTTGGAATGCCTTATAAAGGTTAAGATATTTAGATAGAATGCCTTGATGATGAGTGACGATTCAACATCGACTTGCTATATTAGACACTATTACTATAGACACAGACACTGCCCAAACCCGTGAAAATCCCGTGCTCCTCCTGATCAAGACGCGTTATCGTAGAAACGGTTCACCGATGACTCTCTCATTCAAGTTCCAATGTGGAAAACATTCCTTGTAGTGGTTGACCAATAACGGCGGTGTTAATGAAACGATTGCGAAGCATAGCGGAACGAACCCACGCCATTTGCCTGAAAACAATATAAAGAAAGCTAAATGCTTAAGACAATTGAACTTACTTGATCGTATTTCCATCCGCGAAGTTGAGCCAGTGTTGAAGCAGTTAACTACGGGTAACGTGGGTGAAAAGCGCATCGATCATATATGACAAACCCTAGACTGGCGCCAAAGGAAATGTGTTTGTTGCGATTTGGAAGGATTTGTGCGCTGCGAGATGTTGACGGCTGGTAGCATCACCGATCCTTCACAAGCCGAGCAACTTCGAACTCGACAGTAAACGGCACGTTACTTTTCATAGCGATAACGGAAAAGCCAGATCGCGTTTTTAGCTAACTACTTGGCAAATATTTAGAGAACTTCGATAGGAAATCGTAATGCACCGCCGCATAGCCAATCTTGTACCACTAAATTATTGTTTGTTTCTATCTCTAAAGTGAACTTAATCTCTAAAAGGAGTAGATAAAGGAATGTCACTTAACAGGAACTAGGTAGAGAGATGCCTGAGAGCCACATAGGTCCCATAGTGATGAAATTATAATGTTACAAGAAAAATTACAGAAGGCTATCCACCGGAATAGCGTACATTTATATTAATAGTATTGTTATGAAAAAAAAAACTATTTACTTAGGTATTGGCTTAAGAACCTTCAGTGCTTTTTCGAGCGCCTATTATAATCAACCTTACGTATATAAACCGAAAATATCGTTTCCTGTCTAATCGTTTGAATCTAATTAATTTCTATTTTTTTTTTTCGGTGACTATCGGCGGTCCGTTGGTTGTCCTTCAAAAATTCAGCGGTAAGTTACATGTAGACATATCAGCGAGCCAAGAAAGCTTATTGTGTGATTGCAATATGTAAAAACGAATTCAAGCAACGTTAACCAGTTTATTATACGTGGATTATACGTTACTGAAAACTAAATGTTGCACGACTGTTGGATCACACGCCGTATTCGCGTCATGTCGAAATGCGCAATAGAGTATCATGCTATTTCCTACCCAAAACCTTATCTTTCTTGTGGTAGCAAATCACGATATTTGTATGAGCTATTTATTTAGAAACAATGTTATCAGAGAAAAAAACAAGCGGACACAACACACGTTTTCGAAAACGTGATACCCATTATTAGTATCATTTTAGATTATTCCTATAGTGGAAACGTCTGGATCAAATTCTTGATATTTATCCCACCTGGCGTTGTATCTGTTTGGTCAACTGATTTGAAATAGTGCTTGTGAAACAAAAAAAACTCACTAAATTATGGAAATGAATATGGTTAGAGCCTGCCAAGATTTGGCTGTCGTTATAAGATTTTCTGCCGATATTTTTCCTTCATCTGCCACTAACCTATGATCATGGAGCCCTCACAGTAGCCGGAGGAAGTTCGATTAGACTGCTTTTTGGGAAACAGTAACTGGCCTAGGGAGACGGTGAAAAAATGTCGCAGTTACTCGTTATCGGATGTTGGCTCCCATAACTTTTGGTAAGTAGAAACTTTAATTACACAACAGGCAAGAAGTAGTCAAGCTTACTTTAGCGTCTCTTAATGTGTTTTATGTTTTTGCGGACGATACCCAAATCACACCTCGGGCCGTCACCGATCAACTGACCGGTATAAAACGTAGGTTCCAGCTGAATCCCTTCCTGAACTTTAAGCTTTCACAATATATGTGCACAGATCACTGGCGAACTTAGAGAACAGCATATTATTATTCACTCACGATGTTCATTCTGCATTGTTCTCTTCTGCCTCTTTTTAACGCTGTTTTGGCATCGCTAAGCAAAGCAGGACGCGGAAAGCTCCGGCGGCAGGGGGGTAAAACTGTGAGAGAAGGGGAGCTCAAAGATAGTGGCACAGAAGTGAGGATCACCATGTACATGACGTTCGTTTGGCGACGTTCACGACTCACAATTCCTTTTACTTAACCGCTTGCCTAAATGTTCCAGGCGTGGCTGGAAATGCTGTAGCAGCATCAGGAAAAAGGCAGCAACGACAACGACACGAACAGTAAAATATCAGAATTTCTGGAGGATATGTCCGGCAAAGCGGACATAGAAGGTGATTACAATTCGGGATCGATCGAAGTTTGGCCGATGTGAGTAGGGCACCGATCAATCTTGTCAGTGAGCAATCAGTCAAACGAACATCTAGATCTATCTCCTATTATACGATACTGCCGTGGTATTGTAGTCTCTGCATTCTATCCACACAAATTACGATGTATTACTTAAATGCATCAGACTTGTGAGTGAATGAATTAAAAATAAGTTAACTTCTAGTAAAACCGAGATCCCTTAATAATGTAACAAAGACGCTATATCGCGGAATGCTGAGAATACTCGCGAACATCAATAGACGGACATTGTTATCCATTTTGATACCTTTCCTACATAAGAGCAAAGCGAAGATTTAAATATGGACAAGTTTTATTTTTTTTTTTATAAGATATTATGATACTATAGTGGTTACATACAATAAATTACATGGATGACTACTAATTTATCCGAATTTACGTAGTTAATGTAGTGTGAGAGATCGCATTTTACATTTTATTGTTAAACATGATTTCAATTCAAGGCACAGGCTGTTTATTTAAACCACATCGTGCGATAATAATTGCGTGGATAATGATATGGAATATCTTTTTTAAATATGGACAATATCTTTTTTAAACCTATGAAATGATCGTGTACAAAATGTTGTGCATAAAGTTAGAAATCTGCCAAACACCATATGCCTTGTTTTCTATTTTAGATATATTATGTCAAATTAAATTAGCTTTCTTTGAACGGTCGGCCTGGCAGGTGAATTAGATTCAATTTCTCTTAGATACTAGTTTTACCTCTGTCTATCCGCTTTGATTCCTTCTCAGACCAACCGGAAAAGCTCCTGTGGGTGGATCACTCTGACGCCTTCAAGATATGAGATGAATCGGTTTTTTACCGAAATGGTCCATTAAGTAGAAGGCAAGGCTGGTCGAACTCCATTTACACCGGGAATCGCTACACGCTCTGCTTTTCATGATAAGGTTATCTTTAACCACAGAATGAAGCTAGACCAAAAGTATTTTACCTCAGCGCGTCTGGAGGATCGTGAACCTATTTGCGTGCACCAGCATACGTGCTGTTGTTACTTCGCCTTGGAGCTCAATTGCTGTTCTTTTTATATACCTAGCGGCGTGCGCAGTCACTAATGACTACACTAATATCCCACACATAACTGACGATACCTCGCGCTACTGTTATTACATACACACACAACTGATGCCGAATGACTTCGAAGGCGGCCGCTCCTCTTACCTTTTTATCGATACGCACGAATCAACACTAATTTTGTTGCGGAAGCGCGTGCTATATATGATATGTACAAATTTAAAACAATGAGCAAAGATAGCCTTAATCAACGTATACAGCGATAGCCATCACAGCCCGTTGCCGACTCATTGTGAGGTCGGGAGCTCGTGTCGCCATCGCACACAGGAATCCATTGAAGCGAAGTTCTCAGCTACTACAGTAAACATTTTTGTTTTAAGCAGAACCCTTTAGTGAACACTGTCCGCATGTATCATTAAATCTAATAGTTAAACATGCGCTCAAGGCAATACTTCAATTGGGTCCTCAAGCGCCATCGGGTGACGCACGGTGCGTTTTGCTGCCCCTTGAACTTCAGACGCCTCCTACACGACAGTTCCGTCCCCGTAATTTTGTCGCGCCCCCATTGACAAAGAGCGCCTTTCGATCGCGCGGAGTATTATACTTCACACATGCAACAAACAACATTAGCGATGCTCAAACCGCGCGGCGGACCTGATCTTTCGTCACGCGGCGTTATTCAATATTTGTTCATTTCAAACGCAAGCTCCCGCAGCTATTCCAAAACGTAATCGTGTCGGCACAATGGAGCGCGGAAGCAGCGTCTACAGCATGTCTTCAAAGATCACCCACGCATCCCTGACCCAAAGCGATTTTTCATTTTCGAATTTAGCAGCCGGCTACGAGTGTACGCGTGTCGCAATCGTATTTCGTGCCTATGCCGATTTGATTTCATGCGTTTCGAATACAATAGTCAGGAAGGTTGATCTGCTGTAGCAGTCGCTATGCGTTCCATTTTTAGTTAACAGCAGTATGTTCAGCTCAATTTTTTGCTTTATGCACGATCATTACGTGCTTCTGTGAAGGATCGCCAACACGACGCACTACACAGTTCTCGATTGCGTTTTCCTTCGTGTTGGGATACTGTTATCCATGTATCTCAGCGGGAATGAAGTCTCTCGTAAATTTCTCGGATGAAGCACTGCTTCTTTTTCCAAGCTTACTGTCGTCATTCCAAAGCTATTTCTCTTAAAAGGCTTGTTATCGATTATGGCTACTAAGTTTTCTCTAGGCCCAAACCACGTATTGTCCATTTTCTTCATATGCCGTCTCCGTACGGTCTTTCTTGCGTCACATGTCTTCGCATGGCTAGGCTATCATATAGATAATTTATTTCGACTCACTTTTACGCATGCCGCTTGTCTGTCCATCATTGCTCATTACAACGTAGTCTTCCTGGCTGCCCCGTGCCTGGCTCGTCATCTTGCGATCGAAGGCTTGGTCAGTCCACGTAAAACTCGAATGTCTGCCGAACTGCAGGCCCTGCTAGCTTTCAATGATTGAACGAACGTTTCTCGTAAGCACGCCGGCATACCCGACGCGCATTTCAGCCTCATGTAGACTGAAAACAATGCTTAAAAAATCGTGACCTGGAGTCCATGCCCGGCCAATTCAGCTACCCCGGTCTCTATCTTTAAATGAATAATCACTTGTTCTATGCTTATTCGTGTCTCTCTCTTTTACACCTCTTCAATAATCATTTCTCACGTTTCTAGGATCAGTGGCCGTACAACCAACGCTATGCGACTCTACAACTGGTGCTCGCTTCTGGTGCCTAGCTTTAGCCACTTATTGGTGGCCTATTGTCTTCTCCCATTCCCATCTACGACACCTGAGGGCTCGATACTATGTTTTACAAGTTCAAGTACGGAAAACTACGGGCTTCCCAGAAAGCTAACTGATCCTTTGGATTACAAGATGCATCTACAGCCGGCGATCACAAACAACAAGGCTGTGGGCACCTGCCACCGCCTCGAGCTTTATAATATTGAAGAATGCTGACCCAAACATATCCTTTGCCGATGTCTGGGAAAAGCTTCAGCGCGGGATGTGATCTGCTGAAACACAAAACCAAAATTACAAAGGCCACGGTTCTGCTTCTATGACGTTAGGATCAACGCTAAAAGTATACGAAAGTATCTCAGACTTTTGCAAAGGCTATTGAGCGAAAAAGGGAGATATCAATCGACCTTATTTTCCCACAAACATCTACCAATCAAGAATCTTGTCGAGGGTTTCTTCGCGAAAGCGGTGTCTATGACGTACGTAAACAAAGATTGCCTCGTTGTCAGTGAATTGATATGGGGCACCACTGGCCGCTGATCGGCGGTTATTCGGCTTACAGATTATCTAGCGGAACACAGTTTCTTAGCAAAAGGCAAACTGTACATAGGATGTGCTACCAGATGACCGAGTGAGTCAGGGTGCCGTGCTACTTGGGATGCGGGAAGACGGGGCACAAAGCCTCTGAGCGTTCTTACTGGGCTGTGGTGGAGCGAACTGTCCTGCAAAATTCTACAAGGTCCCCGAAATACAGAGACAAGATCACAAAGGAAACTCGCGGATGAATACGGGAAAATGGTACGAATAAATTATTTGTTAGCGAGTTCTCGGTAACGATAAACAAAACACGTGAGTCGGCGCACACGGTGCCTGTTTTCTTAAGGCAAGCTGCTATGTAAGATGATTTCGAAACAGAGAATGAATGTCAATAATAAGACCAAACAGCGGAATCGATACAACAACTTCTCTCCATAACGGGAACAACGGGAGAAAAATTCCTAGAGCAAGTGAGCGATGATTAGGAGTCCTCCAGCCAAACTGTAATAAGAGCAAGATCTCGGACGGGCTGCTCGAAGAACTTGCTTAGGATAAAGGGGTTGACTTATTAACGAACCTAATATTGACTATATAACAATCGGCAAATTACATGGAGTCTTGATGGCACAGCGTGCAAAAAAAGGAGCGATAACCAGGCGTACTTGGGTAAGAGAAAGATTTCAACTAAGACTTAAGCGTGATTTCAGATGGTGTACCGGAATCCATTAATGAAGTGAGAAATGCTCTAGTAGTCACTGCTGGAGACTTTAACGCGGTATCGAGTGCATGAGGACCTTGTAGGACAAATGGCAGAGGTCGGCAGCCGCTAAAATGAATGATCACGTAAAATCTGGCCACGCTAAACATAAGCGGGATGCCAATCAGAACCACGCGGGTTCCTCGTTCGTGGACTTTCCGTCATCCATGGCGGATTAGGTAGGACGGTTTGATAGCTGAAGAGTACTCGAAGGGAAGGAAGTACTAAGCGTTCATAGTGTTATGGAGTTCTCGATACATTCCAGGCCACATGGTGGCTCCTAGTAGTTAATGGGACGTTTCTAGTGTAACTACGAAGAGAAACGCCAAGAGAAGCCATAAAATATTCGGGGCAAAAAGATGGAAATCTAAAGGTTAGGGAAGATTTACAGCAGCTCTCAGTAGAAATCTGCGGAGTAAAATGATGTTGTCAGATAAGTTAAAAATGGAAGCTGTACTACTGGTGAATTAAAAAAGTTGCTCAAAGCGTGTAACCGACATAAAAGAGAGCTTAAATGAATCAACGCAAGCGATAACCTTTATGCGCAGAAAGATTAATGAGGTAGACCTTATAAGCTCGTAGAAGAGAAAGCGAGCAAAACGAAGAAATGTACTGTGTCCGTAGGGAAGTGGATAAAAATACTAGGATTTTTGTTCTCGTCTAGGCGGCCTTTTGATCAAGTTGACACTAAAGACCCGCGCGTCAAGGATGATATTATACCTACTACGAGCTAAGAGATACTGCAGACAAGAAAATGAATCAAAACGAGTAAAACGCGGCGACCGTACGGAATACTGCCATGGTCATACGGACCTTTTTTAAAGATTTCTCGGAGATAATCGCTATACGTATCACGCAGGTTCTCTGCTCTAGCCACTTCCCACTGTAGTGCTAAAGGGATAACGTATTGCTTATCACTAAATGTAGGGGATCCTACAGACCTATATGCTTCTTAGGGACGCTGATAAACGTTATTGACGCCATGATAGAGAAAAGGCTAGGAAACTTTGTCAAGGAGAAGGGTCTTCTGCCTAAGTATATGACTTCCGGATCGCACATCGGTACTGACAGCAATGGATAATGTTTTCAAGAAAGCTGAAAAGAAGAGAAAAAGTTTGACTAGAGCAAAATACCTTCTTCTCACGTCCTCCTATACGATAAAATTGCTTTTAATAGCCTGCTGTCGCGGGCAGTGTTCACATGTTTGAAGGAAGGAGAAGGTCCTACTACCTAATCCCTGTAGTATCAGACTATCTGTTGCATAGACCGGTGATCAATAGAGAAACTATCTTTTCTATGACAGCAGGGGTTTCACAGGGACCTTTCCTGAGCATATTTCTGTGGATCCTGGAATTTGGTAGGCTGTCAGAGCTAAGCAATCTTCTCTTGGAGGTGCAATCATTGCCTACACGGATGACCTCGGTATCACAGTTCAAGCCAGGATGACAAAGGAACTCCAAGGAAAGGCATACTAGACTCTGAAAGAGATCTTTTTATGGATAAGCGAATATAGACTAGGCTTTTGCAAAGTAAAAGGCTGCATTAACTACTGACATGAAAAGTCCCAACATTTCACACTTGTTTTGGATAAAGGAAGTATAAAAACGGTGGGATACTTAAGCATCCAACTTTATCACACAATAAGGTAGACCACATCAAGCTAGCAGCCATAAAAACGACTAGAGCTTCCATGGAAACTGTCAGATGGAAAATGTCAGTGGCCCGAAAAGTGGCCTTCCACAGGAAAAGGAACAGGAGGCCCCTCATAGCTATAGCAGGCTCGCTTACGCCCTTTGGGGCCCCTGTTTGGACCTTGTCCGAGCCTATGAAGTGACAGCCAAGAAGCTACTCAGAAGTGCTCAACGACTGCTTGTGTTTAGAGTTATCTAAGCTTACCGCATTGTTTGCGTAAATATGGCCTTGGTTCTAACAGAGGCATTTCCAGAGAACTGTAAGTTAAAGAAGGGTGCATGTTCGAACATGATTTGACGAATAATGTGGAAATCAAAGTTTTGAAAATGTTTCAAGAAGAGTTAGAGGTAATGTCTAATTCTGCTCCTGGATTACACCTCTCGGGTGAGATCTCATTTATTACCTCATGTAAATCATCACAGGCCTTCACAAAATTGGTAACACTCCATCTAAGTTCCCTGCGCTGAAAGCCTGGAAGGTAGATACTACACATGTTGAAGGCCTGTACGAGATTGTTCCACACTAGCGAAAGATACATGACAGGAGAAATGAGATTGTTTTTAGAAAACGGGACGAAGGGTTATCTCATCGTGTCGTCGAAAAAGGTTGGGAGGCGGATGAGAAAAAAGATAGCTCGTGATGTTACGGCCAAGCAACATGGCAAACGATGCTTTATCAGGTTTAGAGGAGGCACGGAGGATCATACTTCGTCTAGGGAGCTGGGGAATCTGACCAGAAGGGCCCTAGCCTGATGATCGAGTGGCAATAGTAATCGTTTCCTCCTTCATTTCAGTTTGTTGTATTGTTAAATGAAGATCACTGTTTATTCGGAATGAAGCTCCGGGTAGCAGTTGAACGTTATCGAGCAGTGGTTTCAACGGGAATACTTTTAACCTGTCGGGGCTAAGCTTCACATTCGGCCCACACAAGATACGTCGTTATGCTCCGATAGTGCTGACCGCACTTAAAGTTTATTCCTTAAACTATATATATAAAAAAAAAAAAAAAAAAACTTTGACCTATGTATCTCAAATTTCCGACGTTAAATGAATGAGCTTCATTATAGAGTTCGCTGTTCAGTTAGATAGCTTTAATAGCTTGTTCTAATCAGATCTCAGCGAATCCAGGGTTTAGATTTCGCACCAAAATCTCGTATTATGTACAGCCAGCGCATTCAATCTCATCATCTAACACAACTGTCGACGGCGCTGAACAACTAAGCGATAATTAAAAGCTTGAACTTGAGTTTTTTTCTGGAAATATTCCATGTTTCGTTATCGAAACGGATACGAGAACAGATGCCATTGGAAGCAGGAAGCACTGGCTAGCACTGCTTCATTAAGGCAACTATATACAATATGCGAAACATTTAATATTTTCAGCATGGAGTTGCCAACGGTTCTTGGAAAAAGTGAAAACTTCCTGCCATCGTGGCGTAAAGTCAGTAAAAAATATCGAAAAAGGTCTATTATACAGCGGGAAAATTATTTAAAAATTTCAAAATGATACGTTTGTCTGGTGTAACATCCTTCATAGCCGGTTGACTCGCCGTGCGAAAATTACGCTTCACCATCAATTCAAAAAGTCTAAGTTCAAGGGCAATAGACCTGCCAAGGGGCCCCGGTTTGGTGCTCAAATGAAGCGAAACCATCTTTATTGAGAAAATCAATAAGAAAAAAATGGGAAACCGTTGAAAACTGGGAAAAAAATTGTTTTTTAGACCTAGAAAAACCTGCTCTATGTATGGTGGCGAACCATTCTCTGAAAATTACGCCGTGCCAAAAATCTAACGTCTGTTACAGGTTATGATGCGGCCTATGATTTCTGGCGAAGGCACATTTCCTACAGGGAATTTTAAAGCAATAGGAATATGCCGAGGTTATCGAGAGTTAAATATTGTTCCAGGTACGGAAATGGTTCCCTGACGTTCCCTGCGTTGTCGTGCACGATGGATGGAGCGCCTTCCCACAGAGTTCGGAGCAGTTGCTGTTAATAACACTCGGGTGCTGTGGTAGTCTGCTAATTCGGCAGACATCAATACCAAAGAGCCCGTCTAGAAAATCGTAAAGTGAGAGGTTTGGAAAAGACGAGAAGTGATAAATGTTTCAGATCTTCGGAAAAAAAATCATAAATGTGTAACAACAGGCTCCACTCATAATATAGCAAAAAAAAACTGCATCAGAAGCGTTCTCCAAACATGTGGGAGACAGCGACCGTTACAATTGTATGACATTGTTTGTCAACAATGTAAAAGTGTTTACTGATGTAAAGCAGGGCCGCTTGTATTGGTCGAAGACCGTTTGCAAATATCTCCATTAAGTACTGCGCAATGGGCTTCAAACGCTGAAATGATTTGATTGAGCTTATTTGAGTCTTTTTGCTTAGACACCGACTATATTACATTAAGAATCGAATAGAAATATTACGCAGGCTTCTTTTTCAAAGCAAAAAGCATAAGTATATGACATAACATCAACAACGACGTTGATAATAACAACGCAGATATAAAACACTAATGATGAATTCGAAATTGAGCTTATTCTATTTAGGTTGGAATTTATCCACAACGTTCGTTATTAACGCCAGCATATTACTGACAGATTAATCGACTCACGAACGTAAACACAAACATTTACTTACTACCGGAGCTCTCAACTTCTGGGATGAATGGCATTTCCCGAATAGTCTGATACGATCTGCACGATTATCTGAAATGGCCACACCGTCGGCGCGTGTCAGTTCTAGATGTCGATACTAGCACAAGGCGCGAGCAGACGATATATTTAAAACTGTATAGTTCGAAATGTGGCCAACTCGACGTGTCCACTGGATAAGCCAACACCAGGTCTGTTGGAATACAATTATTGGATACTGACAGTCTTTTTTTTTTTGGTTGGCTTTACGGCTGTAACGATGCACGATTCCTTTGCTGCATAACAACGGCGGCTAATGAGTGTTCACGCTCTATATTGTGCTTGCCTCTCGATTCCATGTTTGTCACCACCATAATCTACCATGTGAAGACTAGCAAAATTAGATCTGTTTATCAATTTACAGATATGTGTAAAATCTATCTGACAAAGGCAACGGCGATGACTTGGTACAAGAGATTCGAAGATGAATGTATGTACCGCAGCGTTGGATACTTACAGATGTTTGTCTTAGTAATGGCTGCATAATTGATCAGGCTCTCTTTCCCATTAAGGTGTATTTATTTAGTGATAATTGTCTAGCTAGTATTTATAAGATGACATCGACTTGATGAAAAGGCACGCAGGTATCGTCCGGCAGCATGAACAACAATATTTTTCCAAAAGTCTATCCTGTTTCTGCCAGTTCCGAGAGTGCATTTTTGAGTCGACACGATGCCTACTGCAGTGAGTTCATTATAAAACTAGGAACAACCTTATAACACTATCCAAGCTAAGAATACTGCTGCCTCTAAGATAATAGAACCTAAAGCTAATTCAGGAAATCCGTCAACTAAGCGAATAGCCAAATGATGTTTATTCTGTTTTTGATCATACAAAATTTTCAGTCTTCGAATGCAGTAAGTTTCTTTTCAATTTACAGTAAACAAACTAGAAAACAATGTGATGCAATTCCCTCAAGAAATAACAATTTTCAATAGCCTACTTTGTAAGTTTTCTTTTTTCTCTGTTTTCGGTATAGAAAAACATTGCTACAGCGTTCTCAAGGAACTTCTTTATTCCATCTTCATATGCACATAGGCTACAATCCAGTTAGCCTGGATGTATAAGGTTAGCAAGCGGTGGAAATGTGAGCCTCCCGGAAACGTAGAACGGCCGTTCGCAAGGTACTGCGGCCGCGTATAGTAGAAGTGTCCTGCAAATACCTAAGATTCAGGTGGGCGCACCTGTTCGTTTTCTCCTGAAATGGTTCAGACAGGTGCCTTTATTGTCAACGCCACCTGGCTAACTGATAGATCCGTCTCGTAAACGGCTAAGCATTATGCATAAGAATATTCATGGAATTTCAAGTTCGCTGGGTTCGAGCCTCTTCTTGACCGGAGTCACTTGGCTGAAATTCTGCTTTACAGGATATAGACGAAGGGTGATCTACACGAAGCGATAACTTGCAACTGCTGTTGATCTTTCGATACTATAGATCTTAGCAAATCGGCTTGTTTCGTTGCTTTTCTCGAAGTTCGTCGTGGTGGACGGGCGGGCAAATGGACAGGTAGGCAACAAGGCTCATGTCCAACAGCTACCGCCACGCCTAACCTAGTTCGATCCGCCTCTTTTGTCCTTTAATACGGAAATGCTCCGCATTTATCGTCGATTTGAACGGGAACAGAAAAGCACACAAGAAGCACTTCAACCATGCTACATGAAGTTTAATGAATAAATCAACGAATGTTAAAACGATGTTATTGCGATGGCAAATCAATACGTACAACACAAAATATTGGAGCGGTCGATAAGCTCCAAGTTGACTTATTTTAATGAGAAGAGGTCCGCCTCCTATGATTGGTAGTGTGTACACGCATAGTAGATACTGTATATTCATCAGTATACAGTATCAGTAACTTCACAATATTGTATCTTCAACAAATCCAACGGATGCCAAATTCGCTATTATATATATTTGTAGGCACTTTCGTACAATTCTGTGCACAGGCCATTATTTACAAGTGGTTTTCTATGTTCTTTTAAGCGAATATGGATGTCATACATGTGTTACCTTCTACGGCTATTCAGCAGGTAGAACAATATGAATACCCTATAAACGAAGCACCATAAGTAAACGAAGTTTGGTATTTATACGAAGTGCTACAGCTACCCACTTAGAGGCTGACTTGGTGCCATCTGAGAATAAAAGGTGTAGGTCGTGAGTTACTACTAAAAATTAAGGCCCAGTGATTAAGTTCCTGTGTTTCAAAGATAAGAGCCCTGGCGATCGCCGAAAACTCATAAAAACACTGGGTAAAGAGGCTTTCAAGAAAACAACAGACAGCGGCTGAGAGAGTACGTCTCGAAATTTCAACGTAAAAACAGGCTACCGTAATTGTGAAAACGAGCGTACGCAATGCGCTCCCTGTAGGTTCAATATATGATTCCTTGAAGTACAAGGTATAGAATCATACAAAAAACACCTAGGTGAACAAGAAGCAAAAAAGAAACAGCTTCCAAACAAACGAACTGGATCAGAGGCAGCTGGAAACGGGTGGAAACGGGCGTGGAGTAGCTTGGAGAGGCTTTGCTAAACAAGTGCCGACAAAAAACCCGCTTAGCGAGCCATTACCATAGATAACACATAAATCAGAGTGTAGCTCCCTGTGTTAGGTCAGGTGCGAAAAGGGCGTTGGAACGAACACCATTTCCGCGGTTGCGCCAAATAGCTTCTGATGAAAGCTAGTGCAATGGACACAGGGGTATTTTTGAAAGGAAACGATCAATGCTGTTAGATATCTCACGCTCCTAAAGAGCATCATGAATCTGTTTCGCGTCAATCAGTTTTGCATTAGCGGGCTATTCGATGACAGCACATGACCTTATTCCCATCCTTAAATCATCGCCTGGAATTAGGCAAAAGCCTCCCCCCCCTATATTATCCAGATTCAAATCCGTGTCGTTTTAATTAAAAGCATGCTTCTAAAAGATCGACCGACGATGTAGCTTATGCTGTCATCGATTGTCTTAAACAAGCTTAAAAAACAAGATTAAATATAGTAATGCAAATAACAAATACAGAGCTATTAAAAAGTTCTAGAAACGACAACCCTCATGCGCGATCAGCAAAACGAGGTATATAGTTATTATACACCGAACTGTCATTGATCTACCCTATGCGACTTGAAAATTGTTCGAGTTCATTGGTTCGATACAAAGCACCGGATCGTCTAATGTATCACCGTAACATTTTTAACATTCGAAATTACGGGATGCTAAATCCAGGACATACCACAGAACAGCAAACGAACACGTTATCGCTGCGTCGTTTTCAGCGCCACTCGAAGCCTATGAAAAAAAATTCCTTACATACTGACACTAACCAGCAGGACAGGGTAATAGCGCTAGTGTGGGAGGCGATGTTGTCATTTTTACTAGTCGTTGTATTCTGTACGTAACGTAAATGCTCGTCGTAGTTGTAATAGAGCAAACATCAGACTTTACAAGGTGCATTTGATAAACAGTACCTTAGGTTTTACTTTGCCATCGAGAAAAATGTAAATTTTCAAGTTGGTACTATTTTTCATCGATTTACATCCACGATCATGTACAGTGTATAAAAGGAGGGACGTTTGTCCTAGAGGCATAACATTGGACTTTTGTTTTCTCTCATTTGAATTATCGGGGGACAAAATGATCATTTATGCGCAAATATGTCATAGTTTATAAAATATAAAAGCTATCTTTTCATATTGTATGATTGAACGAGTACTTTTCCGAAAAATCGTCTCGTTCCTACATAGGAGTGCATAAGGTTTTGTCCGCATGTGGTTCACGATGAAGAAATGAGATCATGGAAGATCAGAACAATGTTTTAATGGGAGAATTAGAATATTAGAAAAAGTGTTGAGACTCTGGCTTAAATGAGATCTCGGAATCGCGCCGCAGACACGATCAGAGGTTGGCTGTGCATGTACAATTTGTCCGGATTTATATTACAACAATATGATGAGATCACTGACACAGAGTAAGAGATCGACTAAATCAAAGACAGCAACAGGATAATCAAGGGAACAGTTCGGTATAACACGAATTAGGTGTGAGAACATGTTAATGTGATGACCGCGGTATGGCAGCAGGACTTTTGGAAGGCTTCAATGAGAGTAGGCAATGTGTGTTGCTAATATACTGAGTCAGGGAAACATAGTTACCATAAAGGGTCAGCTGCAGACCACGCGAAGGAGTCGACGCTGCGGTATCTCAGCGGAATTACAGCCGGGTAACTGCAACGCTGTACTTCTGTAATTGAATAGAAGTGGGGCAACGTAATTGCACCGGCAGGGAAATGCACACCTATGGATGTGTGCTTGATTTTTACCTCATGTTCGCCTAGATGTAACCTTAACGAATCACAATAGTCAACAAAATCACAAAGCGAAACTACGAAGTCCTGTAGTAGTTAATTAGATCTAGCGAGTTTTAAAGACACACGTGCATCATGTTTTGGAAAAAGTAATCAACTTCGTATGGCTAACCTGCTTAGACAAATATGGATACCTAAAGTGGGCCTTATCATTTCTTGTCCTCTAAACTTGGCCACCTGTCAACCCCTATTACCTAACGATGGCCACTACTGCCATATGCAACACGACAGTGGTGGCCATCGTTGCTTAGAAGACATAAGACTAGTCGAAGATAGCATATGGCGATATTCAACTGCCATCCCTGAAATCATCGTTTGTTGTGCTCATTTTTTCCGCATCAAGTGACCACCATACAACAACTGGGTTTGTGTTGTTATCATTATTATTAGAAAAGTTACGCATTCCCGTTCTGCACAGTTGAACGCAGTATCATTTTTGGTCTTGTTAGTTAGAATGCTTTCATTACCGCCCCTCAGATACAATTTGGCGTTCTGCACGGAATGGATGATGTAACATGGAATCACATTAGATAATGTTAAATTACACTGGGATCAGTATTTTTAAAGCAGAATTCGTTTAGCAGTAAATCGTCGATGCTTCACCTTTCACAGTGAGAGCTCTCATTGTTGTTCAGACTCGTATGTAAAGCGCGTGGCTGTCGCTACTCCATATGTGTATCAACGAAGCGCATTAATCAAACCTATGGGCCTGAAGGGTAGTTTTAGTTTATTTTTACACAGGTCATGTATTTTGTAGGTATAGTATTACCTTTTCACCATAGTATTATCATCAAGCCAGTGAGCCTGCGGATCACGTTAACACAAGAACCGTTAATACGTGTACACCAGTATAAAGATATCTGTGGAAGCTTCCACCAGCTCTAAAATTTTCGATATACTTCCTATGTAATTTAGAAAAAAAAGCGCGGGCACAAAAATATGACACAAGCCGTTTTGACGTTAAAAGCACCAATTTTCCACAGCGGTTAAACGGCACAGCTTATTCCAGCAAACTTCCTTGCTTTCAGTTAGTATAAAAAAATGAATGCGCATAAACAAATGAGTAATCGCCTGCGTCTGTAGCAATAACTTCCTTTACCCCGCTGCGATTTTCACGCAGCTTAGCTGGTAAATTGAAGGGGGTTCATAGTAAGGAATCGAGATTGTCTGCGCGATTAGTTTTGCACGCTTGAGCTGGTCCTGCGTCTTAGAAATGTTGCTTCGGGCACAGTAAAGCAGCTTCGTCCTATCCAGACAGCGGCAGGTGAGTGAAAACTTTAGTTACGCAGTGTTCTGCCCAGACATTAGTTGCCCGGGCATTCCATCAGAGAAGATTGCTGCCATCAAACTTTCCCATCGACAATCCGATGGGCGATCCTTCTAAAGATAACGTAATTTCCAAGCTCAATCGCTTATACCGTGACTATATACGTATAAGCATCTGCTATACAGTTCTAAGTTAAAGCTCCGCCTATCGCCACTAAATAGGTGCATGCCCCATATAAACTACAGCAAAGCAGACGCATTCGCACTAGTTAGTCGCACTGAAAGTCGGTTGCCTGTTAAAGCTTTGACGGAAACGCAGGCATGTGATGGATTTTACGAAAAAAAAAAGATGGCTATATTCAATAATAAGCCAGTAAAGCTTACGCTGTAAGCAAAAGTTGATAAAAATAACATAGTAATAACATTTTTCCGTGGTAGGAATTGTATTTTTCCAATAGCATCTTGCTATATTGATTTATAGCGCATTGGGTATAATCACTCTTGATCCTATCCCTGTCAATAGATTGAAAAAGCAGCGTAAATTAGCGATCTCAATAGTTCCGACTAAGCGTGCAAGGTCAACGATTATAAAAGATGTGAGAACAAACAGAAGCTATTCTATCTTTTAATATAGCTATATCTAATAATAATGCAACAAATAGAAAGTATGTTGAACAATATTGAAGACACGATATGTTGATTAGAAGATGCCGATTATGTAGAGTATTCAAAGCAATTCGTCATTGTTATCTTCGTACGTTAACACAGTAATATGGTAGGCTACTCAGCTGCAATTAGACCTTTTTCTAAAACTTGTTCTTAGTTAAAAAAAGAAAAAGCTCGTCATGAACGACCCCCACAGAAAAAAAAAAACTTAATAAATAATTGTTATTATACGTGACTTTGTTTTTGATCACGATTTTTTCACTTTTATACGGGAATATAATCAGCAGCATGAGTCTCATCTGAGCATGATTTTGGAACATTAGAAGTTCGCTAATCTTGGATTATTCAAAGGCCAAATCTTTACTCGTAAATAGGCTCACTCTGGTTACATATATGTAGAAATATGTTAGTATTTAAGTACGCATATAAAACATTTACTCAGCTATTAGTGTACGCTACCCTGTTCCAGGTATGTATTCTAGACATACCTTGTCCGTGTCTTTAAACTGCTCCTTCTTACAATAGTGTCTTCATGCCTCAAATCGAACGCGTAGTTGAAAACGTTTCGGTTATTGGACAGAGAACGAGCTCGTCATACTTCTCCATCTAATGTCTCATAAATTAAAAAGCGAGAAATTCAGTGACTGAGCTTACCTTTTGCAGTTCTGGATATACATTTAAATAATGACTGCAATAGGTCTTCTTTGCTTTTATTGGAAATCCATTTTTCCGTTCTGATGCGCCGTTCCGTACTAGTAAGTTGGCCGTCTGTGACGCAAGAACGCTGACGCGTTTGAACCGATTACACGGCAGGTGAAAATTCAACAATGTGTAGTTTCACAGTAGCCATATGAAAATGGCCTTTAGAAATTCGATGGGCTATTACAGGCTCTGACCGATCGCAAAAACTTAAACCTACGAAACCGGAAATGGGACATAAAGATGTGATACAATGATATAGATTTCAATGCGTTATGTGAGGCTGTGAAATTTTGACAGAGAAAAACCCACAGACATATTTCGGGGAACTCGTTAGGGCTAAAGTAGCAACTTTCCAGAATCAACTTAGGGCTAAACTTTTCGAATTGCGATTTTCGTAAGTACTCTTTTAGTGCAGTGGATGGAAATCAGGTTCCTAAAGATCATACATATACAACGGAGGTAAAAAAGCATCTATTGTTGAGTCATATTCAATTTTTTGTTGAGAATATCAAGCTTGTTGATTTAATGCAAAACACAATAGAACGACTAATGAAATCTTCCCTTAGCACTCTTAGCGCTGTGGTGCGATTCCTTCGAAGAAAGGTATAACCTACGACTGCTGTTGCTTACCACAACGGCAAACATTTGCAATAGAGCAATGCTTTTGTCGGGGGACTAGTCGTGTTTCTGTATAGCAGTGCAACAAATGAATTAAAACCAAATATGCTAGCGTATAGAAAATTTACCTGTTATGGGGTTTGTTATTGACCACATAAATACCCGACCAAACTCGCAACAGCGCACAGACAGTCCACGGTAAATAAATATGCTGTTCGAATCAATCCTTAACGTGTTGCAGAGGATAAATGTTTAAATCAGCAAAAACGGTCAAGCTGGCAATAAGCGAGAAGTGTAAGTGCCATAAACATCACAAAACGATGAAATTTTCAACCGCATATTATCGTTTATGTCTGATCATCGATTGCAGCAGATACAGGCTGGCGGTCGGGGCGTTCTCGCATTACGATTCTAAAGTACTGAAAATCAACCATGCATGAGCTCTAATGATGAGCCGCTCGTAGCGGATGTGAAGGACCACCTGACTTAGTTGCCGGCCGTTACAGACGCAATCGCAATATCACTACAAGCAGCGGTATTAGCTCGACCAGATCTGTTTCGTTCGTCGGCGTCGTCCGCTGTTGTCTACACTAAACGCAACCAACCACTAGTCCTAGATAGGACTTCGACGATCAGCTGAGCTAACATTCACAGGGGCTAATAGTTTTTAGTTTCCTAGATCCCTATTTCACTAACAGAGGGCGCTATATAGTTGTACAAAGAGTGAAGTAATAGGTTCCAAATTTATAGAAAAAAAAAAAAGGTTCTATTAGCTTACCGTGTCGGCTCTAACATTTAAAGTGGTTTTAACTCATGCAAGCCACTATACATATATGTACCGATTTTGATCTTAATACGAATTTCAGAAGGGTCCACCGAAAACGCGTGAGGCTTTTTCATCTGGCAGGAATTGAATGAATAGAAATTAGTCCCATATGCGAAATAGGCCGAGAGGATAATGTCCAATGGGTTACATTTTACGGGTTGTTCCGTCATAGATGAGCAGCTTGCACTGGTTGTGCTGTTTACAAAAAAACCTTTAGCATCCATAATTATGGTATCATGAAAGCACATGATATATACAGATTATGTGTAGGTGGGTCGAACACGTCCGCAGTCAACCGACAAAGAATTAATATGCAAGCAACAGACATAAATATGAAGCATTTATTTTTACGATACTAGAGATCTTTATTCTGTCACAAGAAATCACGTATTGGAATAAGCGGGTGCGCGTCCGAATTATGATTCCTTACAAACAAGTCTACATCAATGGGCCACCGAACAAGCGATTCCGATCTGCGTTTAGATGTCTGTGAACACCTGAAAAAGTATCAACTTTGAGTTCCACATATTGTTTGTTTAGGAAAATTATTCCGCAAAGTCCGACTGATCTTATATCCCATAGGAATCCATCTAGCAGGCCAGAGGATCCATCTAATAGCCAACGCATCATTTGCAACCAAAGACTACCGCTAACGATTTAGCGTGTCTTTGATGGGCGATGGGTGGATGGGTGTTTAGGCAGCAACAATAGCACCAATTCTTCTACTGATGGGTATTATTCGACATTCGGACCTGACTTGGTACTGAAGGAAACCTGTCGCAACTTTTTATCTCTGGGCTATTTCATGCTACATTTTTACGCTTCATTTTCTCTTTAGACTAAACAAGATAGTAAAACTATCTGAGAAATGTGCGAACGCATAAAGATTATGAAATCAGTTTTCCAATCATGTTTCCACTTCTACACCATAGCCTGTCGCAACATTCGTGTCCGCCGTTTTCCACAGATGCTCCAGTCAAGGCGCTTTTCTATTACTGACAATTAATTATTCAGCTAGTCACTACCCCGGAATACTCACTTAGCTGATGCGCAAAAAATCTGCTTCTTTTTTACATCAAGAATTAACGTCTGTTATTAACGAGTCGAGCAAATTACGAGTAGTGAATAAATGTTTATGTTGTTTGCTTTAGCATAACAAGTCAAATTTTAGATTTACTGCAAAAGTCATAAGAAATAGTGATATGCAATGATAAACATTTATTTCGGAATATTTATGCTTAATACATCTGTTTATTATCATGCATCCACTAAACTAAAAATATTAAATACCCTACAAAATCACAAAAACGTCATAAATAAAATCCATCCCGCTAAATCCAGTGCGATCGGTTTTGTTATCGGTGGCGCCGTCTATCGGCATTAAAACGTCGTTTGCGGTACCGATGCAATGGTTGTTACTGGCCTAGGGCGTCGCGTCGCTCGCTGCGCTTCCGATTGCCGCGCGTTCAGCCGAAGTGAATGAAAGGTTTATTAAAACGACCGCCCGCCACATGAAACTGCAGCAACAAATACGGAACCAACACTAAGAGTGCCGAACCGCTGCCAGCAGACGTCAGCGTATATTTGAAAAAAGCTACTTTCAAGCAGAAACATTCGATTGGTTTGCTGATCGAGCGCCAATCACGATCGAGAGCCCTATGCTCCGTCACGTCGGCGAGGGTCGCACAGAATGGATCAGGGTAAACTCCTGAAAGGAGTATGGTATATACCATCTAATCGTAACTGAAGAAAGAAACGATTTAGTAGATCGGTTGGACATTTTAGAATATCTGAAATTCGACCACTGCTTTTATGGCAATGGGCCTTACGAAAAGCTGTTAGAAGAAGTAGTCGCGTTGATTGACTCAGCAACTCAGTGCTTACATAAATATTTTATTGCGATATTTGTGTCGTTCAGATACAGCCCGTGATCGACTGTGGATATTTTGACAAAATGATTTACTGCACACAGTCGCCCACCGAATTTCCGTTTCCTCGTCGTTGAAGGAAGATATTTTACGTGCTCGATGACCTTGATCCCTCCTTAACATAGTGCGTCTTCTGCGAAGAAAAGCAAAAGAAGGACTAAGACTGGTTTAAAAATGAATGCGAAGATGCTAATAGAACAGACTAGAACACACTTAACGCTATTCTATGCAGTGCACGTAATGCTTGTGGAAGTGCGGTGCTCTGAAGATCCGAATTTTATGGAGCAGGTGATGCCGGAAGTTTGCAGTAAGTCCACACCGAATTCGATAGCTTCGAAAATATCAACTAAAAACGTGTAGGTGCGCAAAATGAATCCAATCGAAGTTGGGAATCTACTTCCGTTATGGCACAACAACCTTTGACCCGGGCTAGCTTTTACGCTGAATGAGAAGTATGTAACAGTTTTTCCTAACTGCTTGATCAATTCGTATCAGAGTTCGTCGTTGTCTTTTGGCTCCGTCTTACAAATGCCGCTTCTACGTTGATTCTCGACATAAACTTTTTTTCGGCTAAACAAGCGGACTATGCTTTTGCATGTATGCAATTTTTGTATGCAGACCTCATTGGCTGTGATCAGCTTGGGAACACACAGTTTAGTACACTTTTCTTGATTCACAAATAAGGTATGTCATTGTAGATTATCGTTGAGCCCAGTCAAAAAACAGCAAACGTTGTCCATTTGTTAGCTACCCAGGTACAAGTAGTTTCATTTTTAATGGGCGGAATAAGGACGGAAGTTTGTCGCTATTTTAGCGTAAGGCTTTCGTCACTAGTCCTTTCCTGACAAAAAAATTAAGCTGTACTAAAAAATCAATTCTGCGTCCAGTGGACCTTTAGAGGCAGATGTTCCGATTGGCATTGGAATGGTCGTCTTGGCCAAATGAAAAGGTATGAAATGGGAATAGAAAGGTGTGAGAAAGAAAGTATGCTAGAAGCAAGTGGTTCAAATGACTGAATAGGCATGAATAATTATATAGATATCGCATTAACTGATCGTCTTACAATCAACTTTATAAGTCAAAGTGATTGTAAATAATGGCAACAGAGGCTGCGGAATACATAAAAATGCAGTAAGAGGTTGAAAAGTATATAGAAGACTCTCAAACACATACGTTGTATGTAGTCCCAACGACCAAATGTCTCTATACAGTATTGCTATATGCACTACATAGTTCAAAGCTAAACATCATGCCGCATCTGGTAAGGAACCTGGTTTCCAATAAGGGATACCGGACATCACTTTCATTAACAAAACCGTTTCATTTTTCGTTAAATAGCTTTGGAGTAATTGGGGCATCCACAGTTCACCGGCAAATCCATTGCAACCTCTGAGGGTATGCTACGTGCCACACGCGGTTCGTGACGGCTTATGTTAACACCGATTTCCTTTTGAGTGCATTACACTTTGTCTTTTTTCTCCTACTGCCCCCTGGGACTAAGTTGATCACAATCTTTGATTATCGTTAGTTGAGGAGACAGCGGGGGCAACGGTTGCAAAACTGTGCAATACAAACGCTGTGACAGCAGTGAGTGAAGGCATTACATACATAAAAGTTATCTGGTTAAAATAGCCACTTAGTGGTATTATACATACGATGTACTATTTAATATCGAACTCTGGGAAGCAGGCCGCTTCACTTTTGTGATATACGACAGTCGTAGATTAGGTGAATTTTAATTGTTTGTTAATTCCGGATAAACGGTGGTGATGAGTCTCGTCCTAGAAAAGGCTTCATAGTCCTATGATGGCCTCATGTCATGCGGTTATTAGGAGTGGAGCAACACGTGAATGACTCGAGTGCCGGATGTGGCAGCAAACTACATAACTTGAAAAATAAATAAGTATATATATATATATATACAGTATAAATATTGCAAATGGAGAAACAATCTTTTCTACTATACGCATTTTTTAAGGCAAAGAAAGCAATCGAAGTCACGTGTCGAAGGCAAGTACAGGTCACAGATATATGGATTTCCAACAAAGTTGCGGAGTTGGCCTAAAGAAATTAAGCAATTCAAATTTCAGCATCTACAGCGAAAGATTCCCCGCATTGTACTTTCTGTCATGTCATAAGTGAGGGGCGCGCGTCAGAAACGCGTAAGCTCATGATACGGCGTCTTTGCCAATGATACATCCTAAATTTGACCTTAAAGAAAGAACTGTGCGGTAATTTTTCATTCGGTATAGATGCTGGGTTTTGTGCAAATTTGCATGACAACACGAGCTGCTATGGAGGGGGGCCTAAGGTGCTCGCTGCATATTTAACTATATCAAAACGCTAACTGTTCATTGTCGCCCAAAACAATGGGGTAAAATGGCAGAGTCTTCGGCTCAATTGGAGGCGCATAGGACGTGGCCGCGCAGATCCTCGTAATGAAAAAAACTCATTTCATTGTCACTCAAATTTAACTTCCACTGCTAGATATTATTTCGTCAAAGTTAAAGCTAGTGATAAACACAGACATAAATATACATCAACCGAGACCGAGTCGATCTGGCTAAAACGTTTTCTCATCCAGATCTGCAAAACGGCTTAATTTGTAGATTTTGGATTTAGGCGATTTATTATGTTTATCAGTATAACTCGTTGATGCTGAAAATTTTTTTTTTGGAAACACGTATTTTTATTTTACATCTTACGTGGCAAAATTATCATAGCACACAGGTTCAGATATATGCAAAATGCATTTAATAGACTCGTCCCTTCGTTTTAAGGCCGGCCTGTCGCTGGGTGAACGGCACTTTCCAACAGGAAGTGCTAACGTTATTTACCAGGGTCGGACTAACAAAATAGGACTACAGAAAATAATCCATATTTACTTTTCGTAGGTAATTGGCTGTCTACCTTCGTGTAAGAAGCCACAAATGGAAACGCTTCAAGTTAAAAATTGTTATCCCGTTTTTTAACGTTTTTTGTGAAATGCTATTTCAATAATTACGAACATTTTCCATGGGACTGGTGGTAATGTTCCATAATAACCTTAGCAAAATGGTATGACGGGGCGGAAAAGACTTGTCTCTATGGTCTGCTGCGTTGTTAGTTATTTAGCTTTGCGACACTTGAAACGCAATACACTCAATTTAGGTCCATTTAGTGATATTGCAGCATTTCTGGAAGTCCAGCCGCAGAGCGGGCTTTCAACCTTAACGAAAAATCTCCATTGGGCTCACGCTCACCCCATGTTCAGAACTGTTTGGGTTGCACAGTGTTTGATAAAGGCTACATTGTCATAGGAGTGGAAAATACCGAAGGGTTCTAGGAAAAGCAGTCCAAAACAGTCCGGTTTCAATTGTTCGATCTGCGTGCACCTATCGGCAGCCACGTCATGTAGTCTAGCCTTTAGGAGAAATGGCGTTTCGTAACGGCAGTACTAACATAGAGCAACTACATTTCTCTGCGCAGAAGCCAGCAACAACTTCACCGAACGGATCTGGCATCTGGCATGTATCGAACATCTTATGGGGTATCACGTGAGTATAGTCACACATAGAGGGTGCTAGTATCGATAATTTCAATAGCTCTCCATCGGGTTTGAATATAGAACAGTTTCGAACACACGAGCCGATATCACGCTATTTGTTTCGAAATTGTGCTGTCTCTGCAATGCATCAGCACGTTTACAGTACAAACATGAATTTCAAGTTAGAGGTACAATATTCTACTGTGAGCTGATAAAAAAATGCACACCGGGTGACGAGAGCAAAAACCCTACGACCAGTGTTCCAAAGTAATCTTGTTTACATATGTGTTAAACGGGCTGCATTATTGTAACTAGGAATAGCATTGGATACATAAAGCTATCGGAATCCATTACCCGTTTAGCGATCCCTCTTAGCTACTGCGTATTGAGTTAATACTGTTGAAATCATTTGGTAAAGCTATCTTGTGCATATATTATCGATATTGCCACGTAGTCCATGCTTTATAAGGTAAGTCATTGATCAGGCCTGTGATCCTACCTAGTCACGTCGACACAGGATAGATAGACTTATCGACATATTGTTCCGTCCTCAAGGAAAAATAACGTATGCATAACGAACTAACGCGATTCTACTTTTGCTTGAACTGTTATATTTACCAGTTTTTCAATGTTCATTTGTTCTAAAGAAGTGTGCCAATGTAATTTGCTCAGTACTCGATGCCAGTGAGTTCATGCCGGGCCAATTTTCACGCCAGATTTTAGCATAGCTCGCGGCAATGTCGACATAGTTCTCGAAGGCTTTTTTCTACTACGTTTGAGTGTTAACATTACAGTTGGCCTGAAGCTCTAGCCTATGTGGCACAGTTGAAACATTCCCAAGATCTACTGAAGGCACAAAGAAAGCGTCCTCAAAACCTCAGGGTGTCATTCGCTTTGGCCTCTATTCTATTCTAGTCAAGAAGCGCAAAACCCGGCAACAAACATCGACGCTTCATTCGCTCTATCGTAACGCTGTCCCTTTTTCCTGAGAAAGTCTTGTTCTGAAAGGTTATTTTACTCAAAAACGGTACAGTGTCTGGGTTTAGCAGCAGACTTTTCTTTGGTTTCTGAACGCGTTGTTGTTTGGGAATCGTGGGCCATTATGGTGGCTTGCGTTTCTCTGCAAATACAAAGAGATTTTCATGTAGCTTTTTCATTCATCAGCTACTTCTGGAAGTCATTCTATCTAGATGAAGATCTTCCCTATGATCTTCTAGAGGTTTCATTAGAAAAGAACGTGAAAAGAAACTAATACAGCGCATAAAATGTCGGCTGAATATTAGAGCAGGTCTCAAGCGATATAATGCTACAGGATACGATCCATGATTTTTTATGTTGCTCTGTTCGGCAACGGAGGTACGCGCGGCTAATTCAATTAAATGTAAAAATTATTCCTCAAGGCGTCTTGTGCAGAGTATCTCATTTGCGAGCATGTTGCATGTGTTCATGTGTCCAACAGTGGTCCTGCATACTGCAATAGAATCACCTGATGGAGCGCTCACAGCGCTTTTCATACGCTGATTACGCGCGGCGGCTTCTGCATTTCATCTTATCGTTTTGCCTAAAATTGCAATAGAAAACATTCACAGGACCAAATCAACAGACAGTCTGAAATTAGCAGTAGGAAAATCACATTGGTAGGGACCTTGGCGTTGACAATGGATCGAGGATTGGCATTGTAAAATCATGCAATTTCGCCTAAAGTCATCGACAGCCATGTATGAGAATATATGTGAAGAAAACTTGATTCTAGTTGTTTTACAGCAAGCATTTAAGGCTGAGTGACATAACGTGCGGTTTCTTTTTTATGGATGCCACTTACGAACGCTGCGTCACTTTCTTGTAACCCCTGTATTCGCAGGCAAACGGTTCTGAAGGCCAGACAATCTTGGTGAGGTCTTTTAAGGAACATTTATCTTTCTTTTATCTAAAAACATTTAATTAGACTCTAAAATTTACTTCTACTCAAAAAGGAAAAGAAAACAACAAGAAAGAAAGAATTTCACAAGAATGTCTCACTTGACTACGATCGTCAACGGAGGAATTCTGAACGGCAATCACCATCCCAGAAGAAAACCCCTGCATCGAATTTCCCTAGCTTTTCTTGGTTTTGAACTATACGTGTATGCGTATAAAAAGATTGCGTGGAAGGTAACTTTCGATGAGTCTTCGTATGGTTGGGTAACTTTTGGAGCAGCACGTTAAATTCTCGTAGTTACTTTAGGTTGCTCCGAACAAAGTCTGTCGGCATTTGTCTATCGTCTTTCTCAGTTTTAATAAAGCTACTGTTAAACCGCTAGTGTGGTGTCAAATGTTGAGACAAAGATATTCATACTGTAGCATCTTCAAAATAAAGCAGTTATATTCTCATGATATATATATATATAGGGAGCAATTATTTATATACACTTATTTGCCGTAAACCAACGAATCACGAAATATCTAACCGCAGAAGACTACCCTAGCCTGTCTCATTTTCTCTCAGAAAAATCCTCGAATTGTACAGCATACAATAATCGGACTGCACTGTTTTCATTTGTGCGTAAAAATTTTCGAGTGCTACCATCTGCTTTTTATATTTTGATATTCAGAATACGTTAATGGAATCGAATAAGGTTGCGCGCCGTTTTTTTGTTTGTTTATAAGTTGGCGTACTTTCGTCGCAGTACGCGCTATCACTTGGTGCCTTAGAACAGGTATATACCTTTTCTGATGCTGAACGGACCCACGATGTCGTATATGCAGATCAAATATGAAGTGTGCTTTCCATAGGGATCAAATATTTTGAAACGGTTGACTCTGTTCATTGATCGATTCTGACTCGGCCATTCAGTCCGGTGTTGTCACACGAACGGTGTTTCTCTACGGCATATTATCATGACGAAACTTTCTACTTATACTTTTGAATTAAACAAAGTTTGCAGGTGGTCAAAATTTACATGAGTAACTTGTACGTCATAGTAATCATTCTCAACGACTAGTCTATGAAAGCAAAGATTATTGTAAAGCATGTTCGGAACCATGTAAATTAGATGTCATAGGAATATTTCGCTTCGTCATATAAGGGCACTTATTTAGAAACTTTATTTGAACCCTCAACTTCGTAATTTGAGTATACACAGTATCTTATGAGGAAAACCGTTAGTAATATGAAACGGCCAAATCTTCAGTTTTTATAAATGAAGGTTTACACCAAGGTTTTTTTGATAGTATGACCGATATAGCAAACGTGCAGGTAGACGGCACGTTATTTCCTATATGTGTCCCGCATTTCAAGCTTCTTAGGCTCATAAAATAGTACATTTCCACTTGTTGCAGGCTTGCAGCAGACGTCTTGTTTTATGGAACAAACATATTTTGCCGCGACATGCCTCTTGACTGTTGAAGCATGGTCACTAGCAGACAAAGTCATTCATCACCACAGTAACTAACGGTGAGCCCCCTTTCCCTTTCTGTTACAAATACCCGCCTCTCCTGCCAATGGTCACGTCGGTGAATAGACGACCACATCGTCGATGCGCAATTCGCCCTTCGTTTGACCTTGAATTGTTTGAAAGCCTGAACGTTGCTGGACTGAAGTTGCGCTGTTGATCTGTCTGGGCCGTGTGGCTATCGGGCGTGGCTCTCGATCAGAGACTCACCTTAAAGGCCCTGATTAACGCATGTTGATGAAGCTTTGGAAATTCAATACAGCTGGTTATTATGAGACGGGCATGTCCGAACATATGAAAACTAGTGCCATACTCCGTGACGCTCATTGACAATCTATTGGCCGTAAAAATGATCACAGCGTTTGACAATCATAAGAGAATATATTCGTATGTACGCATACATAGGCTTAAAACATTCAGCACAGGTGTGGATTCATCAACTCCTGCAAAAAAGAATTTCGTCCGGAAATTCGATTGTCCTCTGGGTCCTTTAGCCTTAGTTTTTGCTCTGCCTCAAATTCTGCGCAGTTCTAAAAGGCATGGTACTGTAATAAAATGAGCAAGAACGAAAGTGTACCCTGCGACCCGGCTGGATTCGTTAAGGATAAATTATTTGGCCATGTTCTGGCACACATATACTAGGAATGCGTGCAGGCGTTGTTGTATACGCATTAGCCTTTCATCACAAGGGTAAACTGGTCCGACTGGGCGAGGCTAAATCGACTGTTGTTTGAGTAGACAAGGTCAGTGTCGAATAGCCGAAAAACTAGTAGGGGCCTGAAAAGACGCATACAGAAAGGAAGCAATAGACACGAAGGCGGATCTCTGCTCAACCTGGTTTATTGTGGGGGCAAGCGTGGCCGGCTCAGCAGTTCTATCGTTCGTCTTATTGCTGTTCTTCGTATTCACGCACCATGACGCTACCATTTGGGTTACGATATTAGTGTCGCGGACTTTTTTCTAGCACTGATTGTCGTGGATTGCGCTACGACTGCCCTTCCGCCCTTCCGATGAGATCAAGTCCACGTTTAGCCGATGAGGAAGCCAGTAGATCCAAAGTACAAAAAAAAAAATAAAAATCAACGTTGAATCGAGTTAGACTTAGAGAGAGACAACGATTAATTAAAACGAAGAAAAGCTAAACTGGCTAAGGAGAATGAGAATTGCCTCTTGAACCATTTACCAAGCCGGAATATTCCTGATCCCTTGTACATGCTTGTAAACGAAATCACGATCTTTTCTCGCAACCGCTTTCGTAGCGAGTTGTCTTGCCCGGTAAATTTGAACCCTATACGGGCTCACCCACCCGAGTCTTCAATGGTTGATTCTGCCAATGGCGGTACCACTACGCCCTTCTAATTTACGTCGCGGTTTGTTTCTACTTAATTGCTTCACCGTTTTTCTTCCACAGATGTTTCCTTTTCGTTTGTATTTGGTTTAGTCGAACTGGATCGATTGCCAGTGTTCTAGAAAATCGATCGGGGGAAGTGACGAACATGCATCCCCACTAAGAAACAAGAAAAACAACAGCAAGATGAGGCTAGATTAAAAAAATAGTAATGTATTTGCCATTGTTCGATTACGGTACGGCTTTTTAGAGACTGAGTTCTTAGCATTTGCGAATGGCGGGTAGGCTCGTCGAACGAAGAAATTTTAGTGAGAACACGAAACCGAAAACGAAGAAGCTTTCAAAGGTTTGTCCATTTAGACCTACAAAGTGTTTTTGAAGAACTGCTCAAACAGAACGGTTTTAATGTTTAAGAACTTTGTATTTCTGGCTGCTCGGCTCCGCCCGTCTTGACCTGATTTAACTATGAGCAGAAGTGGAGTTTTAATAGTGTAAAAACAGAATTGTATATTACGAAACAAAAGGCCCAGTAAAGAGCACATTTTTAGAGGACGGGCCTTAACAAAGATTGGTCCTTTAAGAATTTCTTGTATTGTCACTTGATGTGACAGGCATGTTTGTCTTTCTAATGTTCTGCAAGAACTTTTTGGTGTCCTTGGTCGGCTCTCACAAGAAGCGCCTTCTCACATTCTCGTATGCAAGTTACTTAACGCTTGTCTGATCGCATAATAAGCGATTCTTTTTATTTGACTTCCTTTTCTAACGTAAGGACGCGATTTCGTTTCCAGTTCCACCTGTCATTCTCTACCGAGTTAAGGACCATGCGAGCCGAGACAGAATGGTAAAGGTAGAATGACAACTTCACAAAAATGCCTCACATGTCACTTTTTGTTTACTCGCTTCAGTCAGTTCTGTTTGAAGTAATATACTAGGCGATGAGCCTACTTGTGAAAAATTCATTCCCACTTCACCGCGAAGGCTCATTTGGGCGGACATGGAGCGACCCTGCTTAGTTGAGATAATACAATTATTCTCAGCTATATAAATATCACCGCCTTGTTGCAGACTTAACAGAGACCACTGTTAATGACTATATCAAGATGAGTACAAAGTTCCTGCGAACTGCTTTATTATGTTTAACGAATGAGATAAAAAATAAAATCTAGCTATTTTTGCATATTTATAAAAAAAAATTATCCCGCCAGTTATGTATGTACTACTCTAAAATAAATGTTTTGATTTTCACATTTAATACTGTCTCAGTGGAGCATTGCTTCAGATAGCTGGTTCGCAGCGTCAAACAGGGCATCAGTCGCCCGGTTTAAAGTCTAGTTTGTCTCACGTATCTTTAAATTTATTACTACTGCGCCGTGACTGACATAGCTATTTATACGTGCTATCTATTTGATTTAGAAAGAGGTAATCTAGGTTTTTTTTTTTACCGATCCTAATCTGGAGATCAGAGGCCGGGCTACGTTCATTCCTATTTAGCCATAGGAATAAACATAAAGCTCCACGTGTACCGTGGTCAACAACAACGTCCGGTTGTTGTTTCAAGGTTTTTTTTATGATCTCAAGTTCGCGGTCACCTCTACATATGAACGTATATCATCCTGGTCGTGACGTAACTTAAGAACGACTAGCTATCTCGACTAGGTCCTACTATCACGGCGCATCGTAACATTTCACTGTTATTTTGATATTAATCGGTTATGATATTCTTCAACGCGTGCGCTATCAAATCGTAGAGATGTGTATTCGAATGCGCATCGTATCCTTTCTAGATCTTCATTTTTACCATTTCTTATGCATACATTTATGCATGGGCATTCTAGTACGATACGGTATTGTGTTCTCTTGTTCTGAAGTTAGAAAACGCCGCAGACACGTGCTTCAAGGTAGTTCAGAATCTCACCGGCTGGCCCGAAATGATAGACATTGTTTGTGCCGGAGACGAGAATCGCGGATCGTCTTCCATCAAAAGCTGTTTCTCAAAAAGCATATCGGAGTACCTTATGTTCGATGCCAGGTAGGTGTCAGAAGGCTGAGCCTACACTTTAATGTTTCTCTTTATATGTGTACGTATGATTTAGTCAAATATTTGCTGTTAATATATATCTTTTAGATGAGTGTTTTTGTGACTATTGGCAACGATAAAGGGAAAAGTGTCACTATAATTAATCATAACTGTACAAATTTACTCGAAATCTAACGTACATAACGAAAGTTGATAAATTGGAAAATAAATGGGACGGTTTGTTTCTGCGTGATGTTACTTGCTTAATCTTTTTTTCTTTAACAATGTTGATGAAAATCGCCCACAGGCCTCAATCGTAAACTGAAATGTAGACCCATATTTACTACATGAAGAAGGCTACAGGGAAATGACCCTAGCGGAGACTTTAGAAAATTAACTAATAATAATAATAACACTAGGTAAATTGAACTGCGTAGTACATCGTATAAACTAGCATATCGTGCACACTTATACCAGGAGTTCAGGAACAGCATGTCTAGCTAATGCGTCTAAGTAACAGATGATTTCGCCGGCGCACATAATTCTCCCAGGGTTCGTAATCGATCTCTGTGACTGTGCGTTTGTCGGTTTGCCCTCCGAATGAACTGGTCTCAGTCGCCCCCTGCTAACGATTTGCTCATACATTATCAGCTTGGCTGAGCACAACTGACGCGAAGCTTCAAGGCTTGGGCAGTATTGATAACTACCGAACGCTGCTAATCGGTAAACTAACACATTTAATACGTCCTCCTTCCATCCATAATCACTCCCTGCTCACTACACGACAGGTCTATGACAAATTCATAAGAAGCATCGAGACGGTGTTCAAGCTGCTTTCTTCCCATATGCTGACGGAACGAGCGGGTACAGGAGCTGTGTCAAAAACAACTTCTTGACAAAAACGGCGTTGACACCATATCATCTTCGAACTTTCTTCGATTCTGGACCGAGTACAACACTTGGTACAACACAAGTTTTACAAACCTCTTTATTAAATATACAAGGTACAATATCTAAATAAGGTTTTTTTTCCATTCTCTATCTCTAAGACTGTATCTTAATAAAAACAAATATTTCAATGATTTTTTATGTTTGCTGAAAGTGTCGTTCCTTTTGTTGGTCCAATACAATTGTATATGGACCGCCTAACATTTCAATTCGAGACCTAAATCACTCAGTGATCATTTTTAAAAATTCCGCAAAGGACTTTCTTGTAGCGATCGTGCATCCGTCGATACTATTGAGCATTACCTCATTCAAGTTTGCTATTAATTTTTTCTCTACTCCACATTAAAAATTCAAGTGCAAGATATGGCTTTCAAACAATTTTGTTGAATTCTTGAATATTTTAATTTAAATCTAAGGCCTACTGAGACTTGCCTTATGAAGGTCGGCTTATTAAGGAGCTGCATGAAAACTGGCAATACGTCGACTGTTGATTTTGTGCAAAAAAATGTTTAATCTGAATTTGTCCAGCGTGAGAGGTCGGACAATAGTTCATCTTGTTTAGATTGCAAAAACGAGGTATTAGTAGAGAACGAGTTTGCTATCTTATTCAAAAAATGGCAGGTAAACAAACAGCTGCTAAAGTTTGTTGCAATTTAGGAAGCGTGCCCTGCAAGCCTGCGGCGCGACTTACAAGATTGATAGCGTATTCTATGAGTATGGTCTGTATCGTATATAGATATGTATATACGTAACGTCAGAGAAAGTATTATGGAGTTTTAGTATAATACAGTGCTTCAGATATCGCTGTTATTCAATAGTGTAATTCAAATACGCCGCCACACATATGCAAACATCTGTGAGTTCCTTAAATGGTGAAAATTAGTAGTCTGTTTTGTTTCTATACTGATTGTTATTATTGGCGCCCACTAAACATCATACAAAAGTTCTTGTGGCTTTTTGTACATTCGTGTAAATAAGGAGACCCTTAAACATGTCTGTTATAGGTCGATTATGGTTGTATAAAGAGAATCAGGGTAGCAGGATTCGAGTAATTGATTTCCAAATGGGCCTGTGAGACCTGTCTACCTGCACGAAAATCACGGAAGCTTCTGAAAGAAAGCTAAGTTTTTTCTACGATGCTATCTGTGGGTTTATTGGACGAAGTAATAATGACGCGTCTGTGACATGTATTTTACACGATTTAGGTGAATAAGAAACATATCTAGTTATCTTATCTTAATGCCCCCTAAACCGCTTCTGTTCAAGGCTCACCGTCTAAAACCTCGTGGAATTAAGCAGAAAAGATAACCGTAGTGTGACAAATAGTTGAACTTAATGAAAGACTTTTATTCTCTATAATTAGTCAAAAATCGTCTTATCAATCTAAACTTCAACTTCTTTAGTACCAGTAAATATCGTACTGATACCTAAGGAACTAGACTATTCGGCACAGATGGGTATCAATACTAGCTTGCTATACAAGCTAATTTTCATCGTTTTTTTTTTGCATAGATTGCGATATTTTTTCTTGAGCTCAGGGTTTACTGGGTTCTATTCACGGCCACCTAGAGCTCTGATGTGCTGTTTCTTAAGATCCGATAACTTCAACGCCCATTTTGTAACAGCGATAGTTTGAAAAAACTGTCTCAATATATATGACACGCTGAATTCAGACAGGTCCTAGGATTAAACAAAGCTACGAAACATTAGATTTTAGAAAAAAAAAACACTATCATTTATTCGAAACGAAACAGAAGGACCCCGTAAGCGAATTAAAAGGTAATCAACGTAATTCTAAATTAAATTTGGTCACTTTCGAAGTCTCTCTATTGCTTCACTAATTCTGGTCGATTTTTTTTTTGCATTTTAATCGCTCACCTTCCCTAATTGCTCGTTCCAGATTATTATTTTTATCCCGAACATATTTACTATCTCATAATGCAAAAAAACTTCATTTTAAAAACAGAGATATCCAGTTTTGTAACTCAAACTCAAAATGATATTTTTCGACATGGATAAGACGAAATTCAGCAAGGCTGGTGGGTAACAATAGACTGAACATTTCACGGTAGTTAATAGACAATAGTTTATTGATAATAAACTAAGGTAATCTGTAGGCAAAAATTTGATAGTAGTCGATGGAACACTTAAGGCGACATCTTTGAGCCTAGTGAATAATGTATATGAGCACCGACAGCCTGAGTGGGTATTTGCAGTATGCAACTTTCTCTTGTTGTCACTCTTGCCGTGACGTATAGGCATACTCTGAGAGAATTATTAATGATTTATGCTAAATATGAACTTTTTACCGCTGTGCGAACTTTGGGCCCTAATTAGTAAGTTAGTTAAGATAATAAAACATTTTTGTGCACAACGTAAGACGTGTCTTTTTGGTTCTCGATTCCAGAGACGTGGACAAAATTACTCGGGAGTGCAGAAATAAATCACCACCAGAAGATTCAACTGTTATTGTGGAGTGACAACACGCAAGGCCGTATAGAGCGTAGTCGACCGTTTATTTTTCCTGTGACTTTTCGATGATTGCAAAATAATAAACATTTAAGTATGGTGACAATGTTAATCTAGAGTTTCGTATTTTGACTTTAGTCTATGCATCAACGGTAGATTGTACAATGATAATTATTAAGAGGGATGTAGCACACTAACCGGATTCAAAGCATGTTTACGTTGCCCCCGCATAGAGGGTACTTTATAACGTTAAAGAAATTCTTCACTCACGTTGCCAAACGCTCCTAACTCGTATGAACCTCTTCGCTATAGCACTTGCGGTAGCTAGTACTGAATATGGATCTATTTTCAGAAAACTTAGGAATCTGTCAGACGCACATTACTTCCTTGATCTTTTAGTTTAAAAAGCACTACTTTAAACGGTTCACCTATCTCTTAGGCTGATACTCTATACGAAAAGTGCTCAAGACACAAAAACACGGTTAATTAATAAACTGAACTATTTATTATAAAGTACATGAAACAACGGCAACAGCAATTTCTTGCTGAAACGTACACCGATCAGTTTTTATGGGGCAGTAAAATATTTGGAGTTGATACATAAAAAAAAATGGTGTACAAGACCAGTACGTGTGTCCATGCTTGTTTCTAATACAAAAACAACAGCTTTTTCAGTAGTATATTATTAAACAAGTAGAAAACAATTTCAAATTTACTAGGTATATGCAAGAGATGCCATCCAACAAGACTCGAGCTTCATCGCTGAATAACACCTTTTGCCAGAAATAACTGATACAATCTCTCCTCTTTTATCGTTAATTTATGGACATTGAATTTTCCTTATATCAATGCAAGCGAGCAAATTGTCATCTCATAACGTTAACCCAAAAACAAGTGCGCTCATATCGTCTAAAAAAAAGATCAAATAATTATGATTGCTAAAATAAATAAGCAAAAAAGTGTTAGGAAGTTATTACTAGCAGCCTATGAAGTTCGATGTTCATGCCGGCAACAGGCTACGATCGAGCAACGAAATGGCTTCGTATGAAGGTGATCTGCCCGTCGAATCAGTAAACCCATAAGCCGGATAGCGGTGGCCGACCAATTTGTATTTGCTTATCTCTCAAAATAGTCGGCTACTTAGTTGACAGGGCTTGTTCTTATTACGTTGAAGCTTCTTATTATAGTTACAGCCTTCATTAGCATCTGATTCACCATCTTTATAATGTTCCATTAGGAGTTCCCTTCGACATCTTCGTACTGCTTGCGGAAGCAGTCTCCAACAGGAAAGAAGTCCCAACATCTTCGCTGATACATTTCCCAGACGTAGGTTTCTTGACCTGTGTACTCCGTATCGGGCTTGTTGATCAAATGCATCAAGAAGAACCTATTGATAATTTAAGATATAGCAAAAACAGACCGCTCCATGTCTTAGTTTGCTGCTACTGTGCTTGTAGATACACGAGATAACTATATGTAATCGTCGAGAGAAAAGTCCATTTATGAGCGTCCACCATGATCTCCACTAGCCTCTCACTATCGTTAATGTTCATTTATTAGGAAAGCAGTCATCGACATCCTTTGCCTTAAAGCTCTAAAATGAGAGTCCTTTCGTCTAATTTTCGGTACAAAACTAAATATTAAGAAACTACATTATATGAAACTCAACATGTTTGTGTGCCACTTACATGTAATTCGCTAGGTTATGTTCTTTGGCGACGTGTGTGTCGAAACCATGCGGTACACTGTCAAAGTAGTCCTTGCCGATACCGCATATAAAACAGTTGGACTCCATATCGTCTACCACACTTTGCAGTTGGTCACGCAGTTCACCGAAGGCGTCAATAATCAAACCTGATTTGCCAATATACACACGTTTTATATCCCAAGTTTACTGTGGCAATAAACGGCCAGATCGAAATATGCTATAATGCGTGAACTATACAGTGATACAAGTTCACAGTTAAATTAGCGTGAGCGAAGATTTTCTCAGCTATTACTAGTCCTATTAAACTAAACTAAACTAGAACTGGGACATTATGTCTATCGTTTTTCTATAGTGAAACTCGTATCTGCATTCAAGGGTTAGGTCTTTTTGGGAGCTATTGCAATAACGAATCGTGCTCTAGGATTATCGGAACGGTACGAAAAAGATGCCGTATCGTAGCTACACTTCTTCGAAATTTTCGAAGTATCTTGGAAAGTGACACTGCATGGCATCCAGCGTATAATAGCCGCAATTTAGTTTCGCCGCCATGTTCATATTGCATATACTATTGGAAACGCTACCATAAAGGCCTTTGTCATCGGCCGAGGTCGATCCCCTACCCTGAATGATGGCGAGCAGGATAACGATAACGAAGAAAAAGAACGTGATATCGAAAATAATTCGGTAGACTTCGTATTCATCACCGTCGGGCGCTTCAATCTCATCACCGATACCACCACCGGCTCGTACACCCTTGTAGAGGTGAAACACAAAACACTGCGACAACGTAGAACAAAGCAAAATGCAAAAAATTGAGCATGATTTAATGTCCCAAGGAGAAATTTGGAAAAAACCGCACTCGTGAAAAGCATAAACATTACATTCACTTACTGCAGACCCTCAACAAGTTGCGAGCTAACATACGACGATTCATATTGAAACTCTTGCGGCAATAACATGTGACACTGATACACTAAATCGATCGTCGATACTAACATAAACGCATGTTAACCAAATAGTGAAGATTAACACGCATTTATTGTATTTTTGCTAAACGTGCGCTTTTCCCAAACGTTTGAACAAACATGATCCAAGACGAAATCAATAAATGATAGACAACAACACTATCATTCGTGTGTTTGTCTTAGCTAAGGCTGGTAATAATCATTAGATCGTTGGTTAATTCGTCATCGTTTCTGTCCTTCCCTCGTCTCTAAGTGAATCCCAACAGAAGCAATGACGTAGCTCGATTTTTTCTTTCGTCCCTGTATTTCCCTGCCTGGCTTACCGTTAGCATGTTGTGACATTTCTGTGTCACTTCGTCGTCTTCTTCTTGGACGTAAAACTTGCGGAAAAATGTGAAGGCGATTACCGTGTACATGTACACGACAATTGTTAGCAGCATCACGGTGAGGCAAAGTTGTTTGCCATTATGGGTGACCGATTGCAAAATCGTCTTCAGTGAGGGCACGCACACCGCTACGTCAATCAGGTGACCCGCAAAGAAGAAGTAATTCATGTTGCCAAGGATCGAAAAAGTCAGATACCACAGGTTGTACAGAAATGACTGTGAACAGAAAAGATCAAAAGAATCTAGACGACGGCTTTATGTGAATGATGTTTATTTTTTTAACGTCACACGAAATTTTGAACGAGTTTATTTGAATAACGAAAAATACTACTGCTACCGCTAATTAGCACGCGTTCGGTAATTGTTGTTAGTATATACTATCTTGAATAAGATATGTATCCCTTTTAGGTTTTCGCTAAAAAAACTTCTTTTCACTGACGTATCGACACGTTGTTAAAGAGTCCTGTTAATAAATTATGTATAACTAGAAATTTCGAAACAACAACTAATCGACGGAGCAATGAATATCTTACCCCTGCGGAAACACAAGGTTACTCCTAGACTTGTGCCGTTTGACTTTAACTTTACTACGCAACATACAGCTCAGTTATCGAGAAGCGAAGAGATTATACGCAAAAACAATGAACGTGATCTCAGACCGCTAGCCTAACAATGACTAAATGGCATACGTTGTTCAATAGAATTCCCAAAATACATACATTATCCGTGATAGTGACTCCCGCTTGCCAGATTTGATACTTCCAATCGACGTTCGTGATGCTGGAATAATACACAGCTGCGTTAGATATCATTGAAAATAAATACTCTTTCCAAGTAAACTAAAGCCACCGGGGATACTACTTAATCTATAGTTACTTTGGCTAGAAACGTCGAATAGCTCAAGCCAAAGATCCATGCAATAGAATCGTTTATTTCAAGTGGACGACGAGTATTCCTATCAGACCTGCCCTCCGCTTGTTTTCGTAGATTACGGACCACAAAAAATTGCCTCCTGATTATATATTTCGGAGCTCCCTTTATAAATAGCTGGACCCGCTACTGAAAAATATGCCTTTACTTTTCGATAACACGCATTCTGGCTCTTCGACCCCTTTTGTATCGGTCGATTTTATAAAGGCATGGCCCAACTCTTGTCGCCAACTCCGGAACAAATTCCAAGAAAACTACGCTAACAATACGTTTCAGCTTTTGGTATTTTTCTACCTATGAAAGAGTCATAAAAAGCATTGGTGCGGAAAACAGTAGTAAATGAGTCTTTCTATCTTATATCAGAAGACCGTATGCTCAGGGGCACAGGTACGGCCTGAATCAAAAAAAACCTGACCAGCTCACAGGAAGAATGTTCTGTTCGCAAGTTGAATACGCAGCCCGAGCCGAAATTAAACTACAGAAGAAATCAGAGTTCCCCTTTGAAATATAAAATACGCGTATCGACCTAAAAAGACCACATAGATCTAATATATCTTGAAATCAACTGTTTACCTACAACAATACACAGTCTAGATCAAAACGTTATTCTAAAAGTTGCATTGCCGACCGATGACTACTGACTAGTGCAATGGCTTTTTTTGCTACTTGAACATTGGTTTTCAGGTGTTCAACAATATCATTTTTTCTATTAAGTCGGACATCGCTGTAGCAGACTCACAACGAAAAGATGCCCCCAGACTTTTCCTCTTCCTGCAGTCCTCCCTTACTCATTCCGAGCAATTTGCTTAGCTGCTCAATGTCGAAAGTTTCGCTGTATTTCTGCCGTACACGTTTCTTGACGAATTTGTCCCAGTAGTTAACAGGGAAAGAGCGTGTCGATATTACGAGTTTGTCCCAACGTGCTTTGATTTCATCTTCAGGCGGCTCCTCGGCAATGTACATTCCATCAAACTCCATCGCCCGAGCTACCTCTTTCTCGCGTTTGAAGATCGCCAACGGAACTTTGAGGTTGTAGTAGGCGATCATCATACAGAACGATATGATCGAATGGATAATTGCCATACCTCGAAGGATTGGCTCGAGATAGTAGAGCTTTTCATCGATGACGACAAACTCTTCAAGTTCCTCTTCCGAGCCCGCGCTGTCCTCGCTCGAGCCCGAGCCTGAACCTAGTAATACCTCCGTCAAATTCGATAGAAGACCTTTTGAACCCGATACATCGTCGTCGTCGTCGTCGTCGTCGAACACTGACTTCACAACTTCGGTGGAGCCGTCATCTTCATCTTCTTCCAGTGTCGTCACCTAAATACCCATGTGGTGCATGCAAGTCGCGTGTCAGTATGTGAGAAACATACAACTGCTAAAAAAATCGCCACTTCTCGTGCATTTTTGGGGCTGAGTTGTAGTGAGATGCATTCGTACGGTGCCTATGTTATTCTTATGAAATATCAAGTGATTTTATATTGCAGAGTGTTGGAATAACAAATGTGTAGTACTCAGTAGATCATCTGGCGCCTTTCATTTGGTTCCTTGTAAACATAATATATGCAAATATTACGATAGTCGCTTTCTTCTTTGAGATTGGCCAACAGCAAAGCATAATAAACAAGAAATTAAATACTATCTAGAATTGAGAATAGTACTTTTTTGCGACGCTGGGTTGTTGGTTAGTTTTGGCTTTGACTTAACGTATTGATGAAGTAAACCAGCTGCCTGCCTATCTATAAAACTTAATATTGTGCAGATGTACATGTTGCGGAGTCTAACCTTGTAGAAAAGGAGAATGAAGTTGATACAAAAAGCGAGGACCAGCGCGACGTATTTCATAGTGTAGAAGTTTCGTGCCAGAAAAGACTGAAACAGAAAGTGTTCGGCTTTTTAGTGCCTAATATTGAATAATCCAATTCACTCGTTGATCAAAGGCGATTTTTCTTGGGTAGACATAGAAAAACATGCATCTCATCTATATTTTTCAGTAAACAAAGACATTTCTTCAACCACTTCGTATCTTCTCCCAAGTCTATCTTGTATATAAGTGTAAAACGTTAAGGTTAATCCTTAGAAAATTTACGACGCTTAGTAAAATAAAGCATCTTTTTAGCGGACCCGACAAGAGGCAATAGTTATTTTAACTTGAATTGAAACTTGTGTGAAAGTGATTCCTCTTCGATTTTAATTTTGACTTCTTAGAATCAAACAAGATATCGTAACAATCACTGTTTCGATTGAAAAACCGGAAGGTATCTATAAGTAGAGGAGACCCTGCATTTTTGCTCAAGATCTATTTGAAGGTAGCCGATCGGTAGTAGTAAATATTAGTTAACGGGTTCAGAAATACAAAAGGTGTATAAATCGCACCCCCTTCTCGGCATTGAGATGGTATTATTACAGTATGTTCCATTACGGCTAACAAAAGAGAGGCTTGATAAAGATAAGGCTATTTTCTACTGATCATCAGCCACACGAACATTTAAGCCAGCAAAATATTGGATCTGGCTTCTATTTTAAAATAGAAGCCACATGTTTTCCCTCGTACTGGCGGGCATTTTGCTGGAATTCGAAAAATATATACTTCTTGATATTCTTGATGCTCATTAACTATAGAATAAGCTCGATACTGACGAGAGATATAGTAACGTGTTTTTCTGAACATAGCAGACCTCTTCCGAATTTCTGCCGCAACGTCAAATATTCAGGAAAGCATGTTCTTTTACGTATTAAGGGGAATTTCGTATACATCATTCTTACGTGTCCCTATGAGCAGAACTCTCGACCACTCGTCCATCACGGGTTGCCGTGATGGTCATGTTGTAGCTCTCTTTCGGCCAATCATCCACTGATCCTTGTAAAGCCTCGTACCGTATCGGTAGCACTGTACCGTCAAAGCCTGCTGCTTTTCTATGATGTCGAAATCATGTTTCGTTTGAAAAATCTTAGGAAATAACACCCACCGAATCTGGCTGAGCGTTTTTCAAAAAAATATGATGACTTCTACCTTTAGCTCGAGGGCTGCAGGCAGGAGAGGGTCGTTTATTGGTTTGCTAAAACGTTCACGGCGAAACGATCCTCGTAGAAAAATGAAGGTATAGTATAAAGACTCTCATAGGCCCTAGTATGGTATAAACTGGTGCTGTTTTATATGCATTAATGTGTGTTCCGAAACAAAGGGCCATCTGGCAGTCAGGTATCGAAAAATCTGTTCCGATAAGCTCATTCTGTGGTAAGGACAGCGCAGAATATTGGGCTGTATATTAAATGTAAATGCATTTGTAAGGCAGTCGTTTGCGCGGGACAGAATGAAATTACTGAGGATTTATTTTTTGTTAAACTAAGCACCATCGTTAAAAACATACTGCATTCTAGCATCGGGCACCCAGTGTAACTGTATCTGACACCCAAGCTAAATGGCCATCTATTATATTTCTTGAGATCAAAAAAAATATTACCTTATACAAACGAAGATGTGTGTCACAATGTTCCTTACGAAACCCTATAATACGACCAGCTTAATTCAATGTTTCCAAAATGATGGATGCTAGATCGAGTAAAGTATTGCTTTTACGTAGTCTCTGTTATATCGTCGACTATAATGCAAAAGATCTTAGGCAATTCATCATTAACACAAGAAAAAACACATTTTATATTCTTCGTCCTATTACTACCAATTTTTATATTGACTAAATTTTAATAGGAATCAAAGCGCAGTCTTCTAACTTATATATATTGGCTCAGAGTTACTGCGCTGTCTACCATATATATTGCTAGGTGATGTCTGTCAAAATCGAGGGGATACTCCTTTTACACTAGTTTCAACGTTTACCAGTACACGATTGTCAGTCTAGCATCCTCTAGAAAAACGTTCCATTTATTCAGCTCTATCATACACTAAGCTATTGACTTAAGTTTCAAAACACCCTGTATATATATAATGCCAGACTTTGCTTCCCTCTAGCTAGATAAGAGGTTATAAAAAACGTTTTTTATATCAAATGCTGCACCTGTTCGTAGTACAAGTATATCCACTCTATTGTTCCTGTACTATTACATGATACGTCTATATTGTTCGATACATTCTTCCGCCTTCTGCTGAGGTCTTCGGCCATGAACGGCTTGACGGATCACAACGAATAGCAGCCAGTGTTACGTATTTAACAGATATTCACGTTCACGTACAAGCACATACATACACATGAGTCCATATAAAAATGTTTTGCTCTATAGAACTATATGGCACTGTGTACCAGTGCTGACTAGATTTAGCCTATATTCATTAGATCAGGAAAATTAGAGCGTGTGCAGGAAGCCACGGTTACAAATAGAAAAATTATATTTAAACTTTCGTATTACGCAACGTAAGACAGGCTAAAAAAGTATATAGACCGAAACAGATATGCGCTTACAGATTTCCCGATGCTGTCTCATTATCTGGGACGTATCGGATAAAATTAGCGTTTATATTTAAAAAGGATAAGCAATTGATCAACAATCGAAGGATAAACTGAATCGAAGACAGTCCACAATAAATTTCATTGCAATTGGTTTGCGAAGGGTAAAGCTCTTACCACGACCTTCAGACCGACATTAGACAACTGAAATTTTCCAACGGCCGGTCCACTCTCTGCTTCCGTTTTTGTCTCGGTGGTGGTGGTTGAAGGCTCTGTCAACATCATCGCCTCATTTTGCTGCTTCTGAATGTCTTGTTGAATTAGTGATGGCCGCTTCGTTTCCCTATCAAATAATAATTGTATTTATTTCTTTAGGTTTCATCTATGGTCTTAAATTCTAGTTACATTCAATCTGGACTGGGCTATTCTGTATGTAATGATCAGTGATTAAAGAAACCTTCAGCTTTACTTACTCAGCGAGATCTTTGCCGACACTTGGTTTGTATTATTCGTTCTTTAGTGACATTTCTCGCTTGGAGAAATCGTGAGTTGCACCAGCCGAACTCCTTAATATGCTTCCGAACTATTTATTATACCTAATATTCAATAATACGTAACACACATGCGATACATGTATGTAGTGTATATGTACGACTGTGGAGAGACCTTTACTTTAACCTGTGTGTAAACTTTAAATGATACTCACATAGCTTCCTTTGGCGGCTCAAGGAGCGCGATCTCCTTTCCGATCGGAGCGGCGGGGGCGATAGCAGCGGCCGATGCCGCGGCCGCTCCAGCAGCGACATTTACGTTGGATCCTTTCACTTCGTTGTCTTTGGATTCTTCACGGGCAGCTGATTCTGTCGGAGCACCTTCAACTTGGGCAGTGTCGACGAGTTTTGCCCTAGAAAAGAAAGTGTTCAAGAGAAGATGTGTACGAAGTTTACTTAGCAAAATGCATATCATATTAAAAGATATTCGAAATAAATATTTGAGATTGGATTTCATCGAAGAGTCCAATGCTGAAGTTTTTGAAGCTAAGGCTGCACCGATTCACCAATGAATTACGCGGATTGTGCAGTGCAACGTTCCAAACTATATTAGACCTATTTTCTTATTAAAAATATTAAAAAATATAAAGAAAAAATTTATTACTTCGATGTTTGGTGGTAGGGTTAGTAATTTCCTATTCTATATTCGATGCTTGCGCCTCATCAAATAATAACGTGAAATGTAGTAAGTACTTAAATCTAAAGAAACATTGATTCAGTATAGATATGGACAAACTTCTTTTATGGCTGTTCATCTATTTAGGTGGTTTGTATCCGAAACTACGAGAAATCCCGTTCTGTTTACAATGGCGTCTTTTCTGGGCATCTTTGTCCCTCACCTTCTACGCTAATGATCTTTAGCTACATAGAACGTCAGATGTAAGAAAAAATATGGAGGCCGAATATGGTCCAATACAATAGCCAGTACTGACAATAAGAGCATGAAGAAAAACCGTAAGCATTGCAACTGTCCTTCATCCTCCTACTAACGCATTGTAACACATCCTATTATTGTATGTTGAAACGCTATATTCACTTTTTAGCATGCACATCTTTAGAAAACTGTAAAATTAAAAAAAAGACAACGCAAATGGGATATAGCCGTTCAAACAATCAAGCGTGGTTGCGTATACCTATATGAGTGTAATGTCAGGCCTGAACTAATGAAGTCGTTCATCTCATATGTTCCTGGCAGAGTTATATATATATCTAGGTGGATCAGACGCAGGAATGGACTAACGTACTCTTCGACGGGAGGCAATGTTTCTACCGAGGCCGCAGTTTCTGCAATCATTGGCACCGAGGCGGGAGATGCCTCGATTGCAGGAGTGGCTACCGGGACAGCTGTTATAGGCATACCGAATTTATTGAGTTTTACTGCGCCTTGATCGTCTTCATCTTCCGGTGAGCCAAGTATCGGTTTACCAGACATCAATCGCATTATGAACCCTCCTGTAGATCTGTTAAATGAAACAAGGAGTAAGAAGCCATTTGGTTAGTATCCTTATTTACCGAATTACTCTACGTGTATACCGTGTACTTACATCATAAACTATACGCTAGATGTATATGCGTAATAGGTTAATTACTTTGGAAATTAGTTTAACTCTGCAGATAGACATAAAAGCCGCTTTGTCATTAGTTGTACTAATTCAATCAGCGTTTCCCTCAACGAACGAAGGAAATGGGTATGATGATCACGCTCATACAATTCGTGTAAATCTTTTCACAGTGCTGTCGCTCCATAGCACACATGCAGCAATGTCAAGAATTGCACAGAAAACATTATTAAGCATGCTTCTTATTGCATTGACTTAAGTCTTATTTTTTGCGGCACTTGACTTGGCAACTCTGATCTGTTTACAATAAGGGGGTACCTAGAAACTTACTTTATAACGAAATAGACAATCCACAGAGAGTAAACACCGCTATACACGATGCCCTTGACAAAATTCACGATGAGCTCCACCGGGGATTTCTGCTTTGTTTTCTCGAGCTGTGCTTTGAGATTTCCCGGCGTCAAAATGCTTAGTGCTACCATAATCTGGAGCCACCCCGCTCTTAAACCGCTCTTCAGCAGAGGTATTACTCCGCTAGAATAAGGAGGTTTCAAGGCAATATGTTTTAGCCATGCTTTCTCCGGTATTAGGACGTGACCAAATAATAAGTGTTTTATGTTAACATATCAAACCACGTATTTTCAATCATCCTCTTGTCCCCACTGTATTTGAGTTTTAAGCTTCAGGAGAGTTATTTTTTGATCGTTAATGATACTTCTGCAAGAAGAGCTTCGTCGGAGCTTCATATGGACTCCAACTGAATACAAAATATAGCAAATATTGTTATACATTGTTTGTTTCTTCTGATAACGACCTACGAATGAGCTAGCATAAATTATGGATTACCGAACTATTCGTATTACATTGTGTTTTTGTTCTTTAGAAATAACCAAACATTTGTGCACAGTAGAGCTCGCTCAAACCATCCAACCAGTATATATTCTAATAAAAAAATAACTCCTGCCCTACCTAAGTAATGTTCAGATACTTAAGGCGTACTTACGTCGGTTTCTCTTCCTCGCCTCCGGCGTAAACGTATTCCTCAGCTTTGGTCGGTGTTTCTTCTTCTTCCTCGCAAGCAATTAGCGATGAGTGCTGCATCTCAAAGATGGCGTCTTCGCAAAAATTAATAAATAGCTCGAGTTTTTCCTTGTCGCCGCCCTCTGTGACGATACTGTAGAAAAAGGCCCTTTTCGATTCTTTGATCTGTGGCTTTTCCCATTGGGCAATAACAGATTCATCGACCTCGAAATAGACCCTTTCGATACGCGAAGCAGAGCCCATGATTTCGATGCGACCCATAAATGGTTCAAAGTAACTTAGCAGCGTTGAACACCCCTCGCACATGTGCGCCAGTCGGGGCTCGTTAGGCATGTGCTCAGAAAGGTTTGTCAGTAGCACAGCAAGATTAAAACCGATTTCTTTCGCAGGACCGAGGAAACGGTCGGTAAACTCACGATAGTCAACCATATTGTCAAGATTTGCTTCCATGCAGTCCATCAAAAATTGAATCTCCTCTCTGCAAAACAAATATGCAGAAACGCACTCTATCAGCGTTGTTTTATGAAAAAAAAACTGTTGTGACCTCTTAAACTGTGTCCAACCGGTCACCGAACGGGCATGGATGTATATATACGTAGAGAAAAGTAGTACGTATAATAATTTTAACAAACTCGAGCAACGTTCGTATATGATCAAAGGTCTAGTGCAACATACGGCTCATAGATTTTCTGCTGTTCCATCGCCTTTTTGAAGTCGCTATAGGCGATCCAGCCGGTGTTCTTCGAATCCATTTCGCTGAAGGATGATGAACCAGTAAGTTCTTGTAACTTGAGGAACCTATCAAAGAATTTAAGTATGTTTTCGACATTTGTAGCGGATTCGGCCAGCGTATCCACCATCTGCTTTCCGATAGTGCCATTCATGACGTTTCCTTCAAGCATGGACAACATCATGGTTACCATTTCTTTCAGCAGATCCAAAAATTCGAGTAGCAAATCGAGTTGGGACACATTCTTAGATAACTTGTTCTGCATATGGGCGAACAGAAAAAGAAAACCACCAACGGCATCCCATAGACGTGAATGTGCTAAGGCCTGCTGATTTCCGCAACAGGGACCTTGGATGAATTCCGTAAGTGAGTTGAAAACCTGCTTGGCAACTGTTATAGCCTTGCAGAAATTTTCCTTACCCTATTAAAAGCCAAAAAAAAAAACAAAAGTGTGTCTTTATAGAACCTATGTAGCTCTGTTTATAGTAACGAACGATTTTCTTAAGAACAACACAGAGTAAACGTATAATACTCACAGGTGCGTCAACAACATCCTTCGATGAGTAATACCAAAAGAAATCCATAATCGATTCCTGCAGACGGAGGAGATAGTCAACCGTTGAAATGACCAGATTCACTGTGGTCGTATTACCAGCCTGTGTGCGCAAGTAATTCTGGAAGTCGAGGTTGTGACCCTCGCAGAGCAGTTGGAGAAAACGGAACAGAGCGCACGTAAAGTCTGCATCGTGCATGTTTTTTTCGCCTGCAATACCTTCGGACCCGACGCCGAGACCCTCAGCTTTTTGCGTACGCTCGAACGCATCCAGATTGAGTACGCTACACGAATTCATTAGCGCAGCTATTGATGTGAAGAAGCCAACGTCCTTCTTGTCTTTTAGGTGATTTAGCATTCTCTGTAATAGATAAATACAATATCTTATGTATTAAAATGTTGACGTCTTTGTTCCTAAACTAATTGTACGCATCAAACTTTGCTACACTCAGATCGCTAGGACGAATACATGAGATGGGATTGTTACAGGAGCACAGAAACTATCATAAACTAAACCAGCTGTGTGTTTGTTTTCTATTGATGAACCATCATATCCGCCACGTTTGCTTGCCGTAACTCACTGTTTGAACAACGGTGTTACCGCCTTTGAGCAGTGAAATCCCGAGTTTCAGTGTCTTCAACACCATCTCGCTTTGTTGGCCTTTGCATGCTGACATGTACAACAGAGCATTTTCAGCGACCCCTCTATCGGCCAATCTCGCCTGTTGAAACAGCAGCCGCTGTTTTTCCAGCTCCTGTTCCTGGAGCGATGGTTCTTCATCGCCGCCATCCTCCTCCTCTTCTTCCTCGGCCCCACCGCAGCTCTGGCTGAAGATATATGCATAAAGCATGTAAAGATTGTCTTCACCGATTGCCCCACTGTGTTCCGTGGTGGCGGCCCGTGAGAACGCCAGAACGAGCTGTGATAGGGGGTCGTGTGATTCCTCGCCCTCCTTCTCGGCCGATAATACGTCCTGGCCCTTTTCAGCCTCCTCGAACGTCGTTGTCAGGTCCTCGATAAGCTTTTCATGACCGATATTTTCTTCTTCTAGCCACATATCTTTGTACGTACGAAGCATAATATTTATACAACGATGCCGAGGCAGTTGGTGGAGGGAGACCATTCGAAAGCAAGCGATAACTGCACGTTTCCGCTGTGTCGATACGACGCTGTGGTAAACGTCCTTTGATGACGACTGTGGATGATCGATCATGTGCAGACCGAAAAGGACCTTTGCCATATCTATGATCCGATCCACGAGCATCTCTTGGGTTACGACGACCTCTTTTTCTTTCTTGACGTTGGATAAAGGTACTACGGCTTGCTCATCTTCAACTTGATCTTTGTGGCCGAGCTTTGAGTAAAGGTAATGCTGCCAGCTCATAGCGTCCGTTGGATCGATCTACGATAAAATAACGATATAGCAAGACCAAAGAAATTAATAGAAAAAGAAAGTTTCGGATAAAGAAGTTCCTTATGTAATTCTGTTTCTCACTAATTTGAAGTATTTCTTTTTGTAAGCAAAAATGATTCTTTAATAAAAGTATTTAAGATACATGTTTTTATGGTTTCAGTACATCATAGCTTCACTCTATCAGACTTTTAACAAACGCGGAATTGCAGTGTTAGCCAAACTTTTTACTGTCAAATTGCTTTCTGAACATGTCTTTTTTCTACTTTATAAAAATCGTCTTACCTTATCGGGCAATGTCAGCTGAATGTTCACGTACTCTCTGATCACCTCGTCGACTTCCTTGTTGAGGAACTTTTCCTTCGTGTGCTGTACAAGCTCCTGCTCTCTGCCAGCAAACAGATTCAAGCCGACGGGCAAGATCCTCTTGAGACAAGCAACCATTAGCGAGGCAGCAAGCTCTTTTTCCTTATCTCGTTTTGTATCTCGTTTCTTTTTTTTCTTTTCTTTTTTGCCGGCTTGAGGACTCTCAGACGATCCCGATGAGCCCATCGACTGCATAATCGGTCGGCCCTTGGTGCTGGCCGAATAAGGCATGATAAGCGCCATATTGTCAATCTCGTACATCGATATGAAGTTTGCTTCTTCACGGCGGAAATACTGAGACTTGTTCCACATGTTAAACATATGCGCAATGAGGTTGTAAAGGACTTCAGCGCTCTTGACGTTGTGCTTGAGCCAGTGATTCCTTTGCAAATCGATATATTTGATAAGCAGTGGATAAAAGGCGTAAATATCCCGAGTTAGCAACGCGTACTCTTCCTGAAGTTGATTCTCAAGTTCGGACGTGTCTTCGGCGCTTGACTTAAGAAATGCTCGCATTGACTCTTCTTTCTTAAATAGCGCGTCCATTACACCGAAGATTTTTTCCGTCAGTGGCAGTACGGTGCTATCAAGCAGCTCTTCCGATGAATTGATCACAATTTGACCAGCGTGAGCTAGAACAAAGGACGCGCATTATGTCACATTACTATTAACTTAACCTCACATTGTCCACGTAGATGTATATATGTATACATATACCATGGATGTCATATTAAGATATATTAGTGGGTCCAAAACTCGATAGAAGTTACTGTTTGCGCGCAACTCATCACAAACCTTTCTGAGATTTTTTTAGTTTATCAAGAATACAAAAGTTACTCTTTTCGAGTGTAAAAACTAACCTGCAATGGTGATCATCCATGGGGAATCATGCACCGCCACCGTTCTTTTCAATAGGTTGAGAATACTCCTAAGGGCTTTGTTGAGATGATCAGCGGTAACCATCGTGACATGGTGGCCTTGTGCCGAAGGCGGCACATTATCTGGGCCCTGGCTCCACCAGAACGGGAGATAAGCCGAGAGCATTGGTACGATCACCTCAATGATGTGGGGCTCTTCGATATAACGGGTGCCACTCGTGACGAATTTATCTACGGTGGCAATTAAATCATCAATGTTCGGCATGGAGCTCTCTAGCTGAGCCATGACAGCCTGGGCTTCTAGGGAGTGTTCCTCCTGTTTCGAATGAATGCAGTTGGGATTGAATTTATTATATGCAGGTTCAAGAAAAGCAACAGGGAAGGACGCAGCAAACGCTCCCAGGCAGTTGCCGTAGGCTGGACGATGACGATCCATTTCGGCCTTCACAAACGATTTGCCTTGATGTAGGTTTTGACGGGTACCGAGGGTGTAGATTGCATTTAGGATGCGATAGCACGCAACCTGAACGTCCTCAACTAGAATAAATGTATTAAATACGTGTTATTTCCTCCAAGGTCAACAACGTGCCCAAATATTAAATAAGACGGAAAAAGGCGCTGACGGCGTCCTAAACATTAGTAGCATCTATTTATAGTGCCAGATCAATAGCATCCGAGACATTCTAGGGAGTAATACTTACGAAGCAAGTCAGCTCCAAATTCGTTGTTGGCTAAATGGTCAAATAGCGCTGTAAGAACAGGAATTACAGCAACTTGAATGTAATTGAGAGATGTAGACGTTTTGAGATGAGTTCCTCGGAGATGAGTGTATTTACCGATTTCGAGGTTTTTTAAAGTGTTATCTAAATCGTCGGCGACATTATTAAAATACGTCAGAATCGACGTCTTGACAAGATCTGGGCAACTTTTAGCGACCGTACGGGCATCCGTGGCGCGACAAAGTACTTGAAGACACGAAACGGTGAGTTTCGTCTCACTGCCGAACACCATAAACTTTGAACGGAAGAGGCCAGCCAATTTGCAGAAAAGCCTGCAATGTTTATGCGTCAGTAAAACGCGTTACTAATCTCCGATGAAAAATGATGGGTAGATGGAGCTATTGTCGAACATTTTCTATCAATCCGTTTGTGAGGGCCTACAAGCATACGTATAGTCTTTCGAAGCCGTCGATTGCTTTGATGATTTCCAGTGACCTAAGCTGAATTATTGGGGCAGATAAAGAAAATTCTGATTCAAAAAAAACGGTGGCCACATCATGAACAGACTTACTTAGCAACCATTTCCTTTTCTCGGACCGTCGCCGTACCGATATTGCTTGTCGCTGTAGCAGCTTGAAGGAAAAATTGTCGGTGAGCCACAAACAAACGATCGATCAAGGGAAGTACGACTTTATTGAAAAACTTAACGTCCTTTGAGTGTTGGCGGAAAGAGCTTCGCCGACTGAAGGGTAAACTTGGTTTGAGTAGCTTCATATGCATTGCAGCTGCGTCCAAATACTGAATCAACTTCTCAAGAAGTGAAGTAGCAAACCGAACCTCCTGCTTCTTATCGCCTAAACCATCGTCTGCACGCTTTTTGTCCTTACTAAAAATGTCAACAAGAGGAACGCATTTAGGCGATTGTTATTATGAAAGCACATGGTCTTTTTTTCTAAACAACCACAGTAATAGAAAAATTTCTAAAGCACAAGAAAATTCTTTGTAGGGGGGTCAAAGTGATATAAAGCTGTTTGAAATCATACATTTTCCAGTGTAGGTATTTATGTAAATATTACATTACCTATTTATCAATTAATTGTTCCAGACCCACTAAATTGAACACATAGATAAATCTGCACTGACCTAATGAGGCGATATCCCTCATATTGAAGGAACTTTAAAAGGTCCTGAGCACGATCTCGATGCTTGTACTTTTCTTGGTCGGTTAGAAAATCATATGGTACAAATTGGGGCACAATTTCTCCTCCAATAGAATCCAGCTGTCGCTTGACGCCGCACGCCCAGATGTCATGAGTATTTTCTGCAATGCGCTCCATTAGCGCCATCTGATCCTTGTTCAAGGTCAAACTCGAAAGGTCGACCGGTGTGGGCATGTAATCTAACGGATTAATGCAGTTCTGAAAGTATGTGTACATACAAACATATAACTATGTATTGAATGAGCCTTCGATTAGATTATGTATAATATCTACCAAAGGGGACAATGAGGGAAAATTAAAGTTTTAGATGAATAAAGCGCATCATTAATCAACTAGTTTAGCAAACACACATGAAATATAGGCCCAGTAGAGCGTGGCTGATCTCCTGGTTCGAGTCTCCACCCAAGGGCAAGAATAGCCTTAAGCAAATCTCTGATAGGGTCTTTGTAGCGTTCCTTTTCCCATTCTTGAAGAAGATTATAAGGCTTTAGTCTCGGATGTGCTCGGAGCTCATTGCAGAAACGTTCTCCGTATTGCCAACCGGCTTCTGACTTCCGTGTGGCCCATTGTTCATGATAATGCTCGGAAAAGCGTTGTACGATGTTCTGAAGATCACCTGACAGTTGGATTCTGTGAAATCATATTCCATTTTATAAGCAGTTATAGTGATTAATGCCTACATACAATGACTAGCTACAAAAACACGATATCTACTGATGTTCCCCTGTTCATAAGCTTGTTAGTCTATTTATTAGAACCGTATTTACTTCAACGAAACAGACGTAAATGACAGTATGGTGGTTTAATTGTACCTCTTATCACTAACAACTGTTTAACAGATACTCAATTATATAATAGGAAAGTTGACGTCTACGTAACGGACGCATTTAGCCTTACCCCATACTCTCAAGCGGTGTAGGCGTGTAAATAGTTGGCTTGCTTTTATCCCAGTCGTCATCGCTCGACTCTGTTAATGAATAATCTGGCGGCAACGCGCAGGCGATGGCGGTCAGACACGGCAGAGACTTACTGAAAAGCTCGGGATCGTATTCCATTTTGGAGAGCGAGTCAAAGATATTCGAGAACAGGATCATGGATAGACGGCGCTCCTCTTCCGATGCGATGCCGTACGAACCCTGACCGCATGAATAGTACTTATTGCAGCGCTCGTAGTGCAACATCAACAATCGCAGCGCGACAGCTGTGTACTCGGTCAACTGTGAAACGTCAACTGTGAGCTTTCGGAGAAGTTTCAGTAACATGGAGGGCTGCATTTCGCGGGTCAGAGCTACGAGAAAATCGGATACAAGCTCACGCTGACCTTTTGTCAGAATTCTGACTTTGGATAGACGATACACAGTTTGTAAGGCGGCGTCCAGCAGATAATCATAGTTTTCTGCATCGCGGTAGAAATGCGAGTACTGAATGAGCATCGGCAAAACGGAATTGCCAATGTAGCGGTTCAGAGCCAACGCCATCTCGCTTTGAATGTTGTCATCGCGTTCAAGCATCGTCGCCGAACGAAGATCGGGCAAAAAGCCATTTTCAAGGATACGGTAGAAGATATCCTGGTTTTCAATACCGTAGACACGCTCGAGGAACAATGCAATGCTCTGTTTATGTTTTGGGTGTAACCCCGCTGGGAGGTCTGATATAAGCTGACCCTCCTTGTTTCGTCGTGCAGTACGCAGTGTAAACCGCAAACTGAGCGCTCCAATCAGATCATCGAGAGGAACCAGCGATCGTAGAATGGCTCGAGCTCGAATGCATTCATTCTTGCCTTGGGCAATTGTAGCAGCCTCGGGAGCGCAACGGCCCAGCAGGTCGACTAAGGCACAATAGAAGTTCAAGATTGCTGCTCCCATATCAATGTAATCTTCGTCTTCGTCTTCCGTTGGCCTTACAGGCAGGCCTTGTTGTTCCCGTTTTATTGCTATATTCTCAGACATTTTGATCGCTTCCTTAATGGCCTCAAGCAGGCCAGGACCTTCACCTCGAAGTGCTGGGCCAAGGCATTCCGGTCGCCTAATTAGCAGTCGAATGACAAGGTTGGCGTTCTCTTCCACCGATTCGCCGTTCACCCACACACAGAATCTAAGGAAATCTAGATAGCGCTCACCCTCGACGGGATCCCAACCCACATCAGGATAACCTTTGTCTACCAGTTCTTGGTTTGACTGTAGACCACAACGTGACAAGTAGATAGCGATCTTCTCAAGATAGTGCTCACGCAAAGCAAGTGCCAACTCCGAATTCTCCATGAGCGACGAATAGGCTACGTCCAACGGCGTCGAGCCACGCAACGAGGGACGCGCTGTAACAAATGATAGTTATATGCACTTGAAATACTCTGTACACATTTTTGAATTTTAAGTTCCATAGTCTCGTCAATAAACGCGAAACCCAAATAACATACTCACATAAAAGGATGTTGGCATTTTCTAAAACGAAGTCAAGGTGGTCGAACATGGCTTTCTGGTTAATGCGTCCCGTTCGACAGAAGTAGCAAAGAAAACGACAACACGACACTACCATTTGAGAAGTGTTTTTGTCGTCATTTTTTTCGCCTTGCGACGGCTGAGTTTGTGCCCGCTTGCCTAGAGTGTTTACCATAACATCCATGACGTTTTCGTGGACGCGTAGGATTCGAATGAGGTCAGGGTGCTGGAAGAACACACGATTTCGTACCAGCGACCAGGAAGATACTCGCATAATTTCCTCTTCTTCGGGAGACATTTGAACAGGAAGTAGCGCACGAATTTTGGTTAGATTGCCAAAAAGACTGATGACATCATCATTGCTTTTTTCCGAAATGATGTAGGTCTTATCCAACGAGTTTATGAGCTGTAATTAAAGCACAGTTTTAGTATATCTACTTCTAAAAATAACATTATATAGATAAAAATAACAGTAATTTTTTTAACAGTAATTTGTGATTCAATGAGAAGTTGATCTTCATAACTAAAATCTTATATTTCGAATTAAGTTTTCATGAAAACTCAACGTTAATATATAGGCGTGAATGGTTTTCAAATAAGTTACATTGCGAAGCCTAAAAACAGAATTAGTGAAAGATTTTTCAAGATATTTCACCTCTCCTATAGCGTTATAGATACGGAGCAGTAGGTCAAACATCTGGCGTATGACTTGATGATTTTCAATTTCGCTTTTTTGAGCCCAGGACACAACGGTTTTTGACACTTTCTTTATGAAAAGTTCCTCAAGTAGTACTGGCTTTTCTGCTTCCGGCTCGGCTTCTGCTTGTTCGTCTTCTGTCGTTGATTTCATAAATTTGACAATACTCATGAGCTTTTGTCCGATCGACGACTTCTTGGCGGCCGCGTCTTTTTCTGACAACTGCTTTCCGTTTTCTTCCTCGGCCACGCAGACCTTCAAACGATAGATCATATCATCGTGGAGCTCCACGAGCTGTGAGCGAATATCCTCTCCACAAGGACACTCTTCTCCGGCCTCTTCATCAAGATTCTTGAAATTTAGAACAGTTCGCATTTGCTCTCGAGGATTACAGCGGAATTCTCTTGTCTTCTTAGCTGCAAGGGATGATGGCAGATCGGACTGTTTGATCTCGATATAGCGTCGCAGTTGGTCGGCCTGAAGATCTCTGGCGAACTGTTCGGTAAACGCGATATAAGCCTCGATTCTGTGGCGCAATTGGAGATCAAGTAAGTGGTGAAGAACTAAGCACATCTGAAGCTTTACACCCTCCGCGATATTCATGTCTACAGAGAAATTCAGAATAACATGCGTTAATAACCGAAACCAGTTTTTTGCCTACAGTGCTAACTACAATAAGTATATGCTTTCTTGAGATGTTACAAATTCATTTCCTAGAACGGCTGTGTATACTCACCTATGAGCCCCATTTTTTTCGGAGTCTCGCCAATTGGCGGAACCTCAGTAATTTCGCGATCAGGTTCCTCTACCTCGCCAAATACATCGGGGTCAAGAAGTTTGAGTAGGCATGCCAGATCATCATCATCAAAAAGACCCGTAACAAGTAGTTTGTCAGTCAGCTTCAACAGAGGCACGAAGAGGTTCTCGTTGCTGCCTCCGATCGGGTCCCGATTTGGCTTGGAGTCTTTTCGAACAGCGTCTGCGAGGCCTTCCATCACAAACTGGCGAAGTGCATCATGAGGAAATGTCGGCGTGTGAAGGTCCTTGATGGAGTCGACCGTTTCACTAATCGCGTGTTCGATGTGGAGCGTATGAAATAGACGATGCAAAATATACGATTAAAATCACTTTATAGTGTTGACTTCGCTATGGGAATCAGCGTGGCTTAGCGAATCGAACTTAGCTTTCTAACGTTAGCTTCAGAGTCATGGAAAGTCATCACGACTTAACAGGAGAGTTAATTACGTTTAGTAAACGAAAAGCTCCTATAAGCAATGTATGAATCTAATACTTTTCTTGGTAAAACAAAATCACGACCATCTCGCTTACCGCTAGTGTAGCTAACAATAAAGCACTTACGACACATCCGAGAAGGTAAGAACCGGCCTAATAGAGACGCATTTAAGCGTCTGGAAGGAATGAGCCGTCATTGGATCTTCGTACAACTCTCTGATTTGCGAGCCCAGCGGAATGATGAACTCATTCTGTGTTAATGACATTGAGTACGCATGGAACTCGAGATGTAGAGCAATTAGCAGATTGGTGAAGCCGCATCGCAGAGGACCGGATAAATACGCCGATCGAATAGCGTACATCAGTTGTTTCTCATCGACATGATTACAGATTATGTGCGCGGCCCGCTGGTTACCCTGATAGCAGAGTGCCCCGTACAAAGCAAGTGAACCTGCATGGAAGTTCAGCAAACGGTCCTGTTCGATGAGCTCTAGGACATCTATACAACGATCCTCTTCAGGTATATGTACTGCAAGCATGGATACATAGTCCTCTACGATAATAGACCATCCTCGAATTTCCGAAAGACGAAGAGCATGCGGTCGCAGGTTGTAATTAGGCACACGAGACCAAGAAAACGGCTGGAGACACTGAACGCGCAATCTAGGTGGACATAGTGGCTGTAAACTCTTGGCAGTTGTCTTAAGAAGAGCTGCCGAAAGTGGAAGGGTGGAAGGTGTTCTTCCCAGCTCAAACTGGAAGACCTCTTTTGTTGTCGCCTCAAAGAACACAGCTGGGAAAAGCTTTGTGCTCTGCTCAATCTGTAATAGAATGAGATAATGGATTGATTGGTTTTAGAGGCTCTGATTTCAATTATTAGCTGTGTAAACGAAGTGTAGATTGCAACTATATAAGACCTCAGCTTGATCCTCATCGATACGCTGGAATTATAACAGAATTGTACGGAAAGCGAATTTTACAAGGTCACTACTATATTTAGGTTATTCTTATTTCTAACATCTTGTACCTTGAAACGAGCCTTAGTCGGCTTTCCATCAGCTGTAAAGGTGAGGTAACCAGTGGAAACGTCGATATGGCAACCGACGTACATTCCTTGATTTGATGCCCCGCGAGAAGAGCCTTCACCAGAAGCCATCTGAATTTCTTGCAAGAGCTGGCCAGCACATACCATGTAGCAGTTTTTGCGCTCAAGGCTACACCGAAATATAGAAGGTCAGGCTATTAGGAACTGACAATTCAGTTCAATGTGCAAAGAAGATTCTTGTATCTAGCTAAATTCAATAATGACAGAGATATACTAAGAAAAAACGACGAAAATTGATGTAAAAGTCTATATAGAGATATAAGTTTAAGTATTCCAAAAGGCACTTGTTTGATTTTATGAGCTAAGACTCGTTCTGCCAAAAATTTCGCTAATGTTATGTTAGTCAATTTAGATAAGATAACATACATTTCCTGAACACTTCCATCCTCTCCAAATCCATGATATGCTACTTTTCGGATTTTCTGCAAATCAAATCCTAAAATCGGTCGAACATACTATAAGTTGCTGCAAGTATCCTGATTTTATGATTACTTTTTTAGATAATCAGATTCTAACTTAATACCCATACGCATGTTTATCTTCAATCACTTCTTTTTTTAGACACGGTATTTTCTGTTTTCGTAATAGAGCTAACAACTGATTATTAACTAACCTTTGGCAAAATACTTATAAGCAGTGGTAATCCAGCCGACGTAGACGTGTTGGGGATCCTGGCCGGGCATGATACGGCATCCGTAGAAATATTCGTGAGCCATATCTAGATGCCGCGGGTCGAGTTGATTTCCGCCCTCCTCATGAGGAATCGGAACATGAGCCATTGACATGCGTCGGGTGCTTCCTTGACGAGAAATCTGACCAGGTACTTGGCCTGGAACAGTCAGCTGGCCAACGGCTGAGCCTGTTGCTGATCCTCCCGCTGTGAAACAACCAAAGAACAAATAGAAAAGGTATCCATTTCACCCGAAAGAGATCAATTCTGGGATTAATGAACTCAAGTAACATGCTGTAACTTCGATCGACTGAGGTACATCAAAGCAAAAACAAAGTAAACTGTTAACCGTACACGGTGAGGGTCCACGAATGGACGGTTCCCTAATTGTGACCGTAGGTGGTGGACTTAGACTTGTGGGTGGGGCTGGCTCCATTGTGGGAATATCCTTGTTACGCGAGAAGAACTTGAATGGGCTCTTCCCGCGAGTCTTTTTATCGTGCGGATCTTGCCCTTTAGCACGCAGTTCTAGTTCGCTCATCGACGGGACCATGGAGTGCTCTGAGCCACTTTTATCCGCCACACCCGGGATCCCCAAAGTGGCATGCTCGAACGAAGCTGTCTTCGTTAGCGTGCCAGATCGAATCGACTTCCTACGCGGAGGTGGGCCTTTGGGCAGTACAGGCGAGTCGGATCCCGGGCCTTCAGCGGCGTCCTCTGAATACGCACGTTGGAGGTCTGCGTGTTTAACGTTCGTATATAAAACAACAGGCACAGACGCATACCGTATTAGTGGAGTGCAAAATGAAGATATTAAATAGAAATCTATTTTTTGTGCGCTTGTGTTATGTCCAAAGGAAAGGTCAAGTTCTAACCAATACACGTGCGAGCCAAATAATAAGCATATTATTCTCTTACCCTTAACGTCGGACATGCTAAAACCGCTCTGTAGCATATGCTGCTCCAAGTTTCCTGGAGGCCTGGAATCCCGTTGGCGTTGTTGTCTATCGCAGGAGTCCATTTGGAACATTACCTCGTGTTTTTGGCGGGATCGCATTTCTTCCCATTGTCGCTCTTTGGCTGTCCCACTGTTGAATTTAATAATTTACAAAATAGTTATAATCATTGAAAAGCAATCTTTTTTTTTACTCATAAAAAAATTATCTTATGCTTACAAGTTAACTGTTATATAGTACTGTGCAATGCAATGTCTCTCCTGAAAATGATTCAGTATTAGAAAAGTGTTACATTCGCAGATTTTACTTACTCAATAAATTCGTTGTGGCACTGAATAGGCAAACTGAGACGTAAAAACTCGTAGTTCACCTTCTCTACAGACTCAAACAGCTTGTGAGTGATCTTGATAGCTGGGGGTGCTTCACCTCTGCAATATTGTTAAATAATAGTAATATCAAGCAAAAACGTTACCAGCTAACCAAACGGGCTACTACTAAGTCGCATTATGAATAGTTACTTTCTTCTCATTACGAACACAAAACGTTACAAAACGTCTATATACGTACGCGGGCGGGATCCTCGTCACTTCGATATTACAGACTTCGGCTTCGTCGAAGTTTATGAAGATCGGATCGTCCTTATTATACCACATACTTAGCTGGCGGTTCATATTGACACAGAAGGGCTGGTAGCCTTCCTGCAATCCGCACGTAGTAAAGAATCGCAGCTGGTTGACGTCATGACCCCAGACTACACGACACTTTTGACCAGTTCCAAGCGTAAAAGCGGGAACGTAGCCAAGATCGCCAGGAATGTCCGTGAAGGCCGCCTCGCCTCCCAACGCATCAAGTAGGAGCTCGCCGTTTAACGAGAATGAAATTGTCTTATCGTGTAGATCCAACATGCATCCAATGACATCACCTACAGCCCATTGGCGACCGTACGTTTCTGAACCTCCCGCCGTGTTCTTCTGGCCTAGGAGACCGTCATAGGCAAACGAGTTCTCGTCACCCCCAAGATCACATGACGGTAGGAAATTCACCGTCGCCCAGCCGACCTTAATTAAACCAGATGTCATTACCTCAAATTCGAAGTACCACTTGCCCGATGATACAGCGTATTGTTTTTCAGCACGAAGAGTCCTTGCGTTCACTTTCGTTGCAGCAGCCTCTTTGCTTAAGCCCTGTTGTTCGGTATCGCCAGCTGGTGGCTCGAGTACGTAACCGTACGCTAACAGCGTTTTCACTGTCTCAGCGGCCGTGTCCCGATTCGCCTTCTTAATGGTGGCGTCAACAAACTTGTAAGGCACCAGATGAGGACTACGACGTGTCTGAAAGTCCTCAATGAGGCCATACGTCCAGCCCTGTTGAATGCGTTCGCGAGACCATACGTTGTGTGTGTTTTCTGCCAACAAGTCGACCAAGTTGTCCATCTTCGCATTAAGTGTAATCTGCGATAGGTCGAGGGGTGCTGGCTTATAGCCGTTCGGTTGCATGTACGGGCTGGAATCGCAACGAAATTACATATTTACTGATATTACGAGATGACGAATGAAAGTAAACGAAATTTTGTTTGCTTTAAGGCACGCCCTACACACGCAACCATTAACTGAAACGCTGAAGATGCACTTACTCGTTATGTAACTTAATCGTTCGGATCCTTCCCGGTGGCTGATCCATCGAAATATGGTAGCCTAATGAAACGATTGTTCTGCAACAGTTACACAAAAGTTGATTGAATTCACATTAAAGTGAAAAAGATCATAATTCGAAAATAGAAATTACGTGACGATGATCTGGCTCAGCGGCTATAAAAAGTGCACGTATGAATAGTACGTATTATTGTTGTGATACCTGCTCCTTAATAGGCTCTATTAAATTAAATGAATTACCTACTTGAGAGTTTGAAGGGCTAGCATGATATCGTAGCGTTTTTCAGCTGGGGGCAAACGGGCGAAAGGCACCAAACAGGGGTGAAGCCATTCATCGGTGTCTTTCTCAGCGCCCCAGCACCAGCCTTCGTCGATTTTACGCATTGACCACACCTCATGAATGTTCTCCGCTAGTTTGTCTCGCACCTGTTCTATAAATGGTGCTAGTATCACCTGTAATAAATTATCAAGCAAATTTATTAAGCGGAGGGCAATAAATGCATGTACGGAAACAGTAGGGCATATTTTTGCCCAGGCCGCCTCAGGTAGTCTTATATACTTGGTTAGTTGCGTTAACGCACATCTTAATGTACTGGGCTTATAGCTTAGGCATTATCCTGCACCCGTAGTAGAATACACCTAACAACACGCATCGCCGATTATAAAACTCGTCGGCAATTGTTGGTTCGTAGAGATAAACTTTAAACCATAGGGTTTTACAACGCGTTACAATTTTCGATGACCTTTGAGAAAGTCATACTAGTCTGATTAAAAAAAGGAATAACCGAAAGGCGTCTACTGAAAAGTAAAACAAAATGAATTCGTACGATTATTGAGGAAGAGAAAATATACTTATATATGCAAAATAGAAAAACATTATAGTTACTGTGTTTGTATCCACAGGTTTCGGTACAAACGCCACGTCACCAAGGGAAGGTTCTGCCGTCGGCCCTTGATAGATGCCTTTAAAGAGATCTCCAAAAAGGAAACATGGCTCTACCATAAGAACCTGTTGGGGAAGCAGTACTTCGCATAGGGCAGAATAGCCCTCGGGAGGGCCGTACCGAAGGCGACCTTGGTCCCCACCCAGCAAGAAACGGCAGCTAAAACGATTAAAACATATCTGTGTTAAATATTTAGTTAAGAAAAACTTGAATTCTTCATGTCACTCTTTATTTCATACCCTTCGAGCATTACGGCATTCAAACATGACAATAACCTTTAATTTGCATCCTATTCTATTCTATTTGTATTCTAGACTCTTTATCAGAGTCTTGAAAACTAATCCGCTTATCACTCACCTGACCTTGGCGGAGAACGATATGACGGGATAGAACAATCCATCAATATTAAAGTCTCTAAAACATCCTTTGACCTTTCGTCCGTTAACAGTGAAACTAATTACGGGAACGTTGAGATCAAGGATACAGCCAATGATGTCCCCTTTCTTTATAAGAGGGACATCTTCAACGTGATGTACAACGTTTTCTCGTCCGCCAGTCCATAGGCTGCGGCCATCGAAAGAGTAAGAAAATAGATCATCGCCAGCTCCGTTACAGCCCCATTTCGAACCTCCCCCAGGATACGGAACGTAGCCGGCGGTCGAAGCCCACCCGATGCGCAAATAGGGTACGAGATGAGAGATCATCTCTTGGTGGTCAACCTGTGCTTCAAAATACCAACGCCTAAACATGGCCGAATTGTCCACGTTGCTTACGTAGATGTTGGGCCGCATACTGGCGACGTGATCGACCAGTTTTGTTTGCAGTAAAAGATCTCGGCCGGGCAATAGATTGTCGCATATATTGTTCTGTGAAGACCGCACTGCAATACCATTGCCAGTGACGCATAGCGAGCATAGGACATCAAGGACCTTAGGATCACGACCGTGTTTCTCTAACAGAGAAATAATGACCTTAATATGGTCCGCCTTCATAATATTTAGAGCTTCAGGTGAGTCGATCAGTACGCAGTGAAGTACATCCAGCATACCTACAAAAGCCAGAAGATCGATGTAGATACTCAACAAATTTGTTCAATTAAAGGATTCACTGCGTACGGCAATTATCGTTGTATGTTCCTTTCATACCACTGCGATTATGCAGATTGATTCAGTTTTCTATTACCTAATACCTACCTTCACTGGCTTGTTGACTCCCCAAGCGCCCAAAAAGCCAATCAAGTCTCTGCGGCTGTGCAAACTGCGCGCAATTCGTGTGGTTGCCTTTGATAATACACGCCAGCAGCTGGTAAAGGTAGCCGGAAATTTCTTCCCAGTTGGGTCCGCCTTCGCCCGACAAAATTTCCTGCATCGTCGCTTCATGTCCAGCGACAATCTGCCCTGTCGTAATAGCATTGATCTTGTCGATTGTGTCCAGTGTCAAGGTTAGAATGCCCTATAGTTATATAGCACAAAAGAAACACAAAATCTACTTGATCGGTACTATTTCTAAGGATTTACTTAAATGACATTATTTAATAGATGGTATAACGTTTTATAATGAACTAATAACATATAAGTGCTGGCGAATGTTTGACAACACCTTTATAAGTACTAGCGCCGAGTACAACTATTATCGGGTTCTATTAGTTAACAAATACGAAATTTACCTCTTCCTGAAATAAATCCTGACGATTTCGAAGGGCTTTGAGTTTTGCCTGCTTTTCCTCGTGCTCTGAAAAAGCGGATTAGGACTTTTAGACTTATTACTAACAAAAACTATCAGTAAGTCTATGTGGTAGTCTAAAACTGAAAGTTCTAATAAGCAAATGTGTCTCTCACCGATGTCCTCTTCAGGTTGCACGAAGTAATTGATGAGATCCTCAAAACAGAGGTTCATCTCATCCTGATCGAAAGCCTCCAGCGCTTTGGCACCTTGCGTGTACATGTCATCCAAACTCCTGAAATTGCAATATTCCACTTGAATCGATTGTCTATTTTAAGACATAAACATCTCATTATCAAAAGGTAGTTTTCCTACTGCTGTCCTTTATTAACTAGTCACGACATAAGTTGGTGTTATGGGCCCACATCCATTTAGCAAAAGCTGGATTTTATGATATATGTCTGTAGAGCTAAGTTCACTACGATCAAAAGAACTTTTCCAGGAAAATGCTATTCCTAATACGGTAATACTATTCGAAATAAGATACTTAAAAATAACGATTGATGCTTACGCAATGAATTTGGTAAACAGAGAACCGCATTTCCGGATTACTCTGGCTGTACGAGCCTCTTCAACCTGAGCTCTGGAAAACTCCAACCCGTCGTCCATTTTTCCTTCTTCTGACATGATTACCTGTTTTTCTTCAACTTTTCCAACGCCACGTTTCTTTGTTTCGTACGTCTATCAGAGCATGGATAAACAAGTATAACTCGTTGCGACTCGTTGCGCATTTGCTACATGATCAATTGAAATAAATAATGCTCCAAATGACGGAAGGAGAGTTTGTGATTTCTGAATTTAAGACATTGCATAGCTAAGCATAAATCATAGAAAGGATGGTCAAATATAGTTCGATTAGTATGGATAGAACGTAATTTTCGTCGACTGTAGCAGCTCTTCGAGATTTTGTTTAGAGCTCGCATTGACTGAGGTTTTTATGCTAGAACGCACCTTGTACGAAAGCCACAGCCCGGTCTCCTGATGTTGGATGAACATTGTCGTATCGCCATACTTGATAAGAGGAACTCCCAGCACTTCTTCTTCCTTCTCGTCAATCTGTACCTTTTTGTCATCTTTTTCTTTCCGCAACCAGAATGCTGTAGCTTGGAGTGTGGCTTTTTCTGGCGGCACCAAACACACCTCCTTATCATCATTGAACGCGAGATACTGGCCTGTATATTTAGTTACAAAATGAGGTTAAACCAAAATCCAATAGTATTTATCATCATCGTCGTCCATTAACAATCAACCACATAATTTATATTGGGCAAAATAGCATCATTAGTATGTCTATCAGAGATGAATAGAAAAAAATTAGATAGGGTATATATTTCCGGTATCACTGTGAACCGTTTGTCTTGTACCCATCTTTATGAGAATAGGAATATTTAACAGCAACGAGTAAGAGAACCTGTTGTAATGTGGTGAATCCTTAATGGGTTTTCCCAGTTGACGAAAGCACCTGCCCATTTGGTTCGAACTAGCTCGAGTCTCCAGAGGGAGCGAGCCTGATTGAGGACGGCGCCACCTTCATATACCACAATACTGCGATTCCAAAAATTAAATCCGTTACTAATTTACCAGTTGAACCTCGATTCTTCTACAATAGGAATTAATCTCTATTAGACAGATAAACTACTAGATACTCATTTACTGTGTCTTATTGATAGTACAGGCTTTATACTAGGCAGAAACAACGGCGAAATAGGTACACGACTTACTTTTGGCCAGCTTCTGCACTCCAGTTTTGCGGGATGGTCAAACACTCGTCGCCAGAATGATAGAATCGTATGACCTCGCCGCCAAATACATAACCGACGTTTTTCGTGCGTGATGCTCCTGTACCGAACGGTGCCACTGGCCAGTGAGTCAGGTGAAAGGAAGCGTTCACAATCGTATTTTCGCCTTCCTTTGCAGTATGCTACACCCACAAATACAAAGAAAAACCATCAGGATTGACCGCGATAGCAAACAAAAGAAGAGACGTTGCCGAAAAATGAGTACAGATGAGTTTGGAAAAAAATTTGTTTGCCGCTTTTACTAACAGAGTCCTATTAACCTTGGTATACAATAGGGGAGCAGCAAACTAGGTCGCGCTGTCCCGTTGGGAAACCGTTTGTACCAAGATAAATTTTTATATATGAAAAAAGGGGCGACTTGTCGACGGAGTTCGTATGTGGACGAGGTGAACTATGAGTGCGCCGTAATTGAATGTAATAGGACAGAGTAAGTCGAGCAGTCAGTTCCCAGGCCTGCACGCCTATATAGGCTCGATAGCAAGAACGCTTTATACACACACCTACGAGAAAACGTAAGCGATACCGTTTAGTTGAAAGTCACTTTACAGAGAAAATGTGTAGTTCCAAGCGTTCCTTAGAGTCTCTGGGGATCAATTCTAGGTAAAAAATATAAATTATTCTACACTTTCATTTGCCGCCGTAGGGCTTGGATTGCGTCCACAGAAGCGCAACGACATTCTTGCAGGGCAAGTTAGTAGAATACTATCATTGTTTTCAGTTTCAGAATCACTCACCAAGTATCTTTCGGTGGCGACCGACACAAGGATGAGATCGTCTCCGACCCGAACTTTCTCTCCTTCCGATCGTTGCTTTGAAGCAGGATGGATCGTCCACCAGCACGCCTCGCCTAACCAAAACGACGTAGAACAATAGCTAGTAAACATTCATATAACGATTTCTAATTTTCTTTCTGGCTAAATGCGAGCCAATCGAAATTAAATTAAAAAACAATATATATATATATATATTTAAAAAAACACTTTTGTTTATATAAACGCATTGTTTTATTTAGGCGTCCTTACAAGCGATATGTATGCGAGTTGATAATGTTCTATAATGTATATAAAACACTACTGAACTGGTATACAACGTTAGCCTGGTTTATGTATTTCGAGATCCTTTCACATACGTAATTTCTTGCATAGAATTAATTCCAAGTTTTAGAGCTCCAGACGTTAGAGGATAAAGTGAAGCACATTGGAATAAAATATAGCGTTCCTAACAGGAAAAGCTAGGATCGCAGGGGCTGCTAGAAGTACACATATAAACTTCAGAAATATACACATATAAAAGGGATATAAATCGCTCTGCGAACCAGGGTAACTACCTAGAATGGAAAGAAAACCACCGGTTCGTCCACGTATAAGAGACGCAGAGTCCCATAGGCGGAAACAGACGGCTAAGTGTGCTCCTTTCGTTTAGCTAAAAAGTACGAAATGGTGCCCAGCGACCTTTATATTTCTTCGCATACTGATATTTGTTTTTCGTTTTTTATAGCAGACAAACACATTTTCTTTCCGCGCTAAAAAACGTTTAGTCAAGTGCAACTTGCTCAGATCTATGAAAATCAATAATGCCTTATAGTTATATTGAAGGTAACTAAGTACGGCGCTTAGATTTTGTCTTTATAGAATACTTTAGCCATCTGATAATCGAGGCAGTGAGCACACATTTGAGACCAATTACTTTGCTTCGCTGAATAAAGCAAGAAGAATATTGTGTGCGGTGCTCTTTACAAAAAAATATCTTTCTCTTCTTTATCTGAATACGCCGATTATCGAAATAAACAAACACATATTGAGGACATCTAGGTTCTGTTTACATAAGGCAAACCAACCCTCTGAATGATCCTGAAGTCCAACGTCAAAGGCGAGCTTGTCGCTTGAAGTCGAGGATGAGAGGCAGGCGAGATACATATTCGAACTTTGGTGACGCAGCAATACCGCATGGCCATATAGAAGTGTTCGATGGCCTGATTGAGTGCTCGTACTCTAAACAGCGAAACACGCACAGACACACAAATGATTTGCTTATATATATATATATGTATATATATGTACCAAATAATTTCTACGATTTATCATAGAGGGACTACAATTTATCTATGCACAGCTACATACAAGTGTATAAAGGGAGGGCTAAAGTTGTTTAGTAAAGGTTTCCGACTTTGAAAGTCATGATTTTATATCTGTTGAAACAGCAAAAGGGTAGATTATAGCTGAAGATGGAAGTTCGAAAGAGTTGCAATTTTTAAAATGTCAAATAACCTACTTGAAAATTTCCAGGAAATTTTCAACGCGCTCTGTATATTATATACTGGTTATATACAGAAATAAATGAAGGAATATTCTCGTGTCGAAGCTCATTCTGGATGCGGAGCTCGACCTTTACTGTTCAGGAGTTTAGAACAAAGAAAGCAAGATAGGGAACAAGCTTTAGAATAGTATAGAGTAAAAGTCGTATCCTGAACTGCAACTTGATTCGCGCATGAAGTAGAAGTTTCTCACATTTAAATCGTTTTCTCCCAGCACAATAGGGCCTATGTTCGTTCGTGAGTAGCTGTCCTTAGTATTTCTGACTTACGAAAACAACGAAATCTTTTTACGACAGAGTGCGTAATGAATAATAAATAAGGATTATGTCTCGTGACAATCCTTCACGAGACCGAGAGCAGTTCTCGTGTTGAGGATATAGCTATACGGCCGTTAAACCTTTTGTAAGCCTCCGAAAATTGTATCGACTTTGAATTCAGACAAAGCATCTCACTTGCCTAAAAAATGATTCAAAAAAAAAACGCTAAATTTAAAAATAGAACGTGTGTGTAGTGTGGTTTGGCCATTAGAGTTTTATGGCAGCCAAGCTTCTATATTTTCAGTGAAGATGAAATATAAACAAGAAACAATCGAACTGTCTACGCCGAAAGTGTAGTTGGCAAAAAACATGAAACACGTGGTGGTAATAACCACCACTGCAAGTAATACGTATTTGTATATGCATCTATAAATCACTCCGTCTTATTTCTTGTGGTAGATATAAATGAATCTGGATTGTTGAAGGCATAACCCTACTTTTGGGCAATATTTAAATACTCTGAGTACCCCGAGTTTGACCGCAAAAAAGTATGGGATTTCGTTTTTGTTTGTTCATTTATTCCATAGCTGAAATTCTCGTTTTAACAGACCTAATGAATTACAACACGGATTGCAGGAAATCCTACAACTAACTACAAGACTACGAATTTTCTGCTTGTAGATCAGGTCTGCCCAATTGCAACCCTAATTTCGAGGGTGTTTTTTTTCGATTCACATTATTTTGCGATTATCAAATGCGTGAATTTGATAAGTAAACGGATTCATGATATTTAACGATATCACAATTTGAAAATCCGAATCGATAACTAAAAACATACTGATTCCCCTGCGTTTGATGCGGTGACCATTTCTTGTAGGGCGCGAACCGAGAGCGCCTGCTCGATGACGAACACGCAAGATAACATGGCCGGTGGCAGGTCCTTGTCCGAGATGTTTTCCAGGTAGCAGTGCCTGTTGCCGAAACCTGAGGATGACAAATATAGAGACGAAGGCAAATGCAGATCAATCCCAATTACAACTGGGCTAAGTTGTCAACAATTTTTTCTAGTGATCAGTTCAAATGTAATTAGATAAGCACGAAAGCTAAATGCGGTTTCAAACTCGTAATATGACCAGCCCTTTGTCGCGGCATTTTCGAAAAAGTTCGGTAAAATATTGAAGCATTTCTAGTCTTTCTTTAACCTCGTCTCTCCTCACGAGCGATTTTCATAGCCAGCGAGCACGCGCTACAGCAAATATGCAGCTATGGCCAAATTTGTTTTACTTCAATGATCCACTTTTTTTCTGGAAAAGGCCCAGTTTTATTTAAACAGTCTCAAGGCTCGAAGCTACAACGACCTTACCGAACGAGCCCTGACAAGCTGTTTCGACTAACTTTGCACAGACAACAGTAAGTACCGCTTGTACTAATCAACAACTGGATTAACTTTACCTGCCCGGCTGACTACCGTACGCATATACAACAGGCAGTGTCTTACGAATAACGAGCATGTTTTTAATTACCAAGGATCTTCCAACTAGAAGAGATCGTATGTTTTAGTGGAACATAATTATTGCCCGGAATAGAATTAAACAACGTAGACAATACGTCGTTTAATTTTAGTCCGGGAACGTTTCAGCACGTAACGTTAATTAGATACAGATAGATAGATTCATAACATTAAGATAGCGTCCAATTTAGATGGCCCGGAGTAATAAGGTGCTATTTCCTGACATGGCCGAATCGGATCTGATAATGGTCGGATACTCCTGTTTCATGCGGTTTTTCGAAAAGCTGTTCATAAAATCGGCGATAAATAAAATATATTCGAATCTTTTAGAAATCCTAGTTTCAGGTAGTAGTCTGGTGCTATTACGAATTATAGCAAATGTTTACTCATTGTTTTATTCAGGAATAACACTAGTGATACGGCCGATAATTACATATAGCATAGGATGTCTGCGCGTGAGTTCCGAGGTCAGGTAAGACCATAGAAAAATAACTTTCTAAAACAATTTAATCGTTGTTATAGTTTGTAACGTTTTTCGGAAACCTCTTGCTACAGCTTCACGAATTGACTGGCCTTGAACAACTACTCACCTCGGCGAGCTATTTCTTGCCAGCAATGATGTATCTCGATCGGATGATATACTTAGCTTATGCTTTACGTTAATTACGTTTAATGATTCGTACATAGTACGTATTTTTTAATATACAATTCCTGGCTATGTTATTTGTGGTAATAAATCTTCGAAATCACCTCTGCATTATAACATCCATAATATTTCGATGGATCAAAAGACAAACTGAGCCATGTTGGTCTCGAACAACGATCTGCAACAGCAACATCTAATATGAATGCCCACCGATGGTATCGGCCCTACCGGCGCTATGGAGTACGCACCGTAGCCGCTAGATTTGTTTAGTTACGGCGTCTTTCTGCGTTGAAATGGGTTTAAACTTTATCACTACCTTACTGTCTTTGAATGTCTCCTACGCTGGTAGTTTTCAGTAAAAGCTATTGCAACGTATTAATCCTAAAGCGTAGCCATTCAAAACCAGCGGTTCAAGTATTTATCATATGCAATACTCTGTACAGCATTTCCTTTACGGTACACTTGGACTCGTATTATTTTCTAAAGTGTCTTATACAACTTGTTAATTTCTGCCCGTTTTAGGTCGAACATATCTACATACTGCACATATCTGTACTGCTTTTCCAGGCGTTTTTGCTATAGAATCTCGACATTGTCCCTGTACTCTAAGCTTGAAAGCATAAAGTCTCGTGCAACACGGATTTCTGCCAACGCATGGCTTTATTCTGGTCAGAAATATTTACGCCAACCTAAGAACCCTTGCCGTATAATCGCGTCGCTGGTCTTTTTCTACTAGCGCTAGTATAAATTCACGCTTCGGACTTGCTGACGTTTCATCTAATGCAACACCTGCTCAACGACGACACTTAACGTAAAACAGGTTTGCTATAAAATACAATGTCGACAGAAAATTATGCGAAAAAAACATAGGCCGTACAGTTCATCATGTTTATGAAAACGGGGGATGTTGGAGGTTAGCGCGTGCCACACCAATCGTCTTCGTCCTGAAAACCGACAGTTGCCCGAAACGCTGAGTTCGAATTCAATGAAATTGACTTTGAATAGACCGAACACGAATATGAGAAGAGGCTTATATCAGCTGAGCCGCTTCCATGGCGCAAGTTTTCTGGCACAGGCGTCAACGTCGTTACTCGTTAAGGTAGTCAAGTTCTGCTCCACCCGTTCTGTTGCCCCCGCGGTAACTGTTGACGATACGATTTTAGTTGTTTTATTCAGAACTCGTTGTGAACTTCTAATTCGCTGTAAGTCTCAATGCCATCGTTCGTTTCAGTTCCTCATCATATATTCCATTGACTTTCTAACTACGGTATTCGTAACTTCGAACTAACACGTGGCAGCTTGAACTTAATTAATTGATGGGAGTACCACCGGATGTCTTAAGTTTATTCGTTTCTTAGTTTTCAAAAATCATATACAGCTATCACGTATGTAACGTTCCGTGCTTTGTTTTTGAGACATAGCAAAAGGTGCGGAATTTGCCATATGCGTTCGTTGTACCTTTAACAAGCACCTTTAATTTCCACAGTAACATAATAACAGTAATTGCCTGAAGTCATATTAGGGATTTAAAGCAAACCTATTAGAGGACCTGGTCTGTGGCTGAAAATCGTAGATACAATATTACAGTTAAAAAGTTACCTTGACAATCTGATGCATGAATCATAAGGTACTACCAACTGAGACAGATGCAGTCTCAAATGCCTTCTCTCAGGCACAGGTTTTAATCAATTACAACCATAACAACCCTTTATCCAGGCTCAACTGGATCTACTTCTTTAAAATGAAAGCCATAAACTTTTAACGACCCCACGCAACTAAAAATGTTAGCATATCGACTTCGATAACTTTACCTGTCGAATGAACATACTCAAGTTATCTGTATTGAAACAAATAGAAAAACCATACTCACAATCTATAACACACAATCTGAACTGTTTATTACTTGAACCGTGATAATTAACAATAAAGCTTTATTCTACAATAGCTTGCTAGAACTCTATATGCAGTTTATGCGCGATCGAAATTCGCGTACTTCTGTTACTTGTGTTTTTCTGCGTATTGTTTTATGTCGCTGTTGCCGCCAAAGCTGATGCTCAGCAACTGCTTCTCGCCATTTTGATAAATGCTTGCTTAGAAATAACAGTCCGGCTGCCCGGGAAAGGTTTAGCAGCCCTAACAAAACTGATCTCATTTCAGACGCTTTCTTAATACTGACCAATTACATTTTCTGTCAACCTTGTAAAATACAGAACTTTTACAACTGATTCCAGGTCCGCTATGTGGGAAATGGGAAAGACGCTCAATACACACCAAGTGTTTCGCCGTGCACCTATGGAACAATAATAGAATACTGATAGGTAGGAGCAAACAGACGCGGACGACGAATGAAGCTCAGCCGAAATGTAGCAGCACACGAAAACTACGGAGTGAGTGGCTTTCGAAGCGCCGCTCACGGTAACTTCAGGTGTTATTGGCGTAGATAGTAAGTACATAATAAAGCTCTCACTGACATGTTTATTGAAGCCGGTTATCGGCGTAAGGATCAATCATCCCCTATGTAAAATCAACCTACAAGTATACATTTGTACTCGAAAGATTTATCTATCTGTTTGCCTTGGTAAGCAAAGTTTACATTCTTGGCTATTAGTTATGTCTAGTAGACGTGCTTCTATAAGGAATATCGAAGCGTTTTGAACTTTAATTCGAATTCTGTTGGACCGAGTCTTGGTCAGGTCGTACAAAGCATCAACATGCCATAGATTTAATAGAGGGGGTAAATTCAAAAAGCTTAATCATTTATACAAAGTAGACGCTACTATCGGGAGCGAGAAATTCTTTAGAGTGCTTTATAATTTCTCAGAAAAAAAAAATCGCCTCAGCTTGCCTGACTCTGATCTCGCCGAACTCTGCTCGACGACCCTGGCTCTAGTTAACGTTTCGTGGTCCTGTCAGGAGCTAAGGAAGTGCTGTTGAAAAGCAGACGCTCCAGTGTAGAAGCCATCTACATTAAAGCTAAAAACGCTACCGAACACATGTCATAAACTGAAGGTGCTTATTACTAGTTTGTTATTATTATGTACACAGTTCGAAATCATCATTACATTTTAAATAGGGTCCAGTCAAAGTTTGCTTATGGCCTACATACAGGATTTCAGATGTTCTTTTGAAAATTCCAAGTAGCTTCTCCGTTTTTTTGCCTACAAAAACTAACTCGATGACGGTGAATGACGGCGAAAGCGAGGGATTTGCTCGGCTACAGACAACTGTGAACTCGACTGATATCTCGTCGAACCTCGTTGGGCTTAAAACCAGATCTAACCTTTACTTAAAGTTCTATAGTCTTGTCGACAAGGTAAGTTTATTTCATACTTCATGTTCGTGCAGGAATGACAGGCTGCACAAATACGTTACGCTGTCAGATACTGTGAGACACACACCAGATATTCCTTTACGCAAACTATATCATGTGATTAAGTTGTATCTTAATGGCGATACCGAGATTTTGTATATATTGTATACATACAGTAAAATACCTTCCGACGCTCGATTTTTCCGTATTTCCGAGGAGACCTTTTTCAACAGTACCATAGCGATCGACGTCGCTGTTCAGCCGAAAGGCTGTTCAAATCCGTGAACACTTTTAGGAAAACATAGTTTCATAGCCGCTAGAGAAGTAACCTTACCAGCCAGAGCTGCGCGTATTTTTCAGATCTTGCTATCGTCAAGCGTAGGACTTTAGGACGAACTGGCCAAGAGTAATGTAAGTATGGAATACATATTTAAAGAAGACATATAGGCGTAGTGTTCGAAGTTCGATTGTAATCGCAGAATTTTTCCTTCCGCTAAATCTAGCGTCGAGATGATCTA